CTTCCCTAGTAAGCCTAGGGCTTAGAGAAGATTAGTCCTAATAGTATTTAAGCAATCGAAGCGAGCGTTAAGAGGTATCGAGAGTAAGGACAATTGCTAGGGCGATTTATTATCCTCTAATAAATCGTTACTTAGTTTTTTAACTTAGATGTATTACGAGCTTCCTAATTACGTTACTTAGCCTTAAGTTCTAGCTTAAGCTACTTAGAGCATTTAAACTAGACATAGCTAGCTACTCCGTAGTTATAATACTTCGGAGAGAAGTTAGTCGAAGTAGGCTTACGTAAGTTGTCTTGCCTAATACGTTAGTCTAAGGAGTTTAGGTGTTCTAACTACTAACGGGTAGCTCTCTTCTTTCCTCTTAGGGAGCGATAGGTAGCTCGGTTAGAGCGATTACGCAAGCCTACTTAATCTAAGCGAGGCTCTCTACGTTAATCCGCAATCTCTATATTAGCTATATTAGTTCGCTAGGCTTAGTCTACGATAGGCTATAAGACAGACTTCTAAGGAGTTAAGCTAAGGCGACTAAGTTCTATACGGATCTTAAGCTTTAAGCTATCGTAAAAGGCTTAATAGATAGTAAGATTATCCGGCTTAGRCTAGAGAAGGCTAGAAGCTATTATTAACTTATAGTAGAAGGAGTTAATACTCCCTAGCTGCTTAAAGCGGCGGAATTCCTTCTATAGCTTCTCTTAGTAGTAGTAATTCTAGAAGTAGCTTTAGAGACCGTTAAGCATTATCTCTAAGGTATAGCTTCCTTAGTAGATAAGAGGCTTAAACTTAGTTTCCTAATCTTCCTACTAGGATAATGCATTCTTCTTTATTAAGCCTCCGATAAGGCTAATAAGCGCCTCTTCTATAGGTCTAAACCTCTAGTTAAGAGTAATTATATTATTTAAGTAGCGGTTAAGCTCCTAAACCTAGAGAGTAGCTATATTATCCTTAATATCCCTATAGTAGTTAGCTAGGATGCTAATAGTCCCCTTAATGCGAGGGGCTCTCTTAAAGGGTTTAGAACCTCTATAGCGACGGTCCTTTAATAGGCCGTCGTTATTATCTAATCCGCTTAAATTAAAGCTATCTCTAGAGAATCCCGGAGCGGTTAGTAGTATTTAACTACCCCTATTACCTCTATTAGCTTAGATAGTAGCGGGAGGGTCGTTAAGACGGAACCGTACTAATCCTAGGTCGCTTAGTCCGCGTAGGACGGTAGTGCCCTAGTTAAGTGCATCGTGTTCGCGTAGTCGCTTGTTTTCGGCTTTAAGTTCTTAAAGCCTAGCGGCGACGGCTCTTAAGTAGGTCCTAAAGGTAGCGTCTTCTATATCTAAGGCCTCTAGTATAGCCTTAAGTTATCCTCCCTAAGAAGGGTTTTAGATATAGGAGTATAACTAAAGGTTATCGATTATATTAGCTAAGAAGTAGAAGTCGTACGACTTGCGCTTAAGCGAGCGTCGCGTAGGCTTCGAGGGTCCTACGATAATAAGCGGAGGGGCTTACTCGGCCTAAGAGGCATCTTAAGGGCGAGGAGAGCCTTCCTCGTCTCTTACCTTAGATAGGTTAGCTATTACTATAATAGCTTAGTCGGTTAAAGGTAGATAGTATTATAGAGGTAGGATAGTATAGTACTTTAAGAGAGAAAGGTTATAACTCTTCCTTTTAAATTAAAGCATCCTACTTCGTTTAAGTGTAGAGTTTCTCTTAAGCGCTATAGCGGCGAATTACTAAGACACCTTTAAGTAGGGCGGAAGGAAATAGGTTACTATACGTAATATATTAAGTGCCTATTATAGTTATCTAAGATATAGTATATTATATTTCTAGGATACTTAGCTAAGCTAAGGCGATTAGCGCTAGCTTAGCTATAGTAGTATATACTTAAGAGGGATTCTTACGGGATGTAGCGTATTTAAGCGCTATATCGGCGACTTTCTTAGTATAGCCCTTACTCGATAAGGTAGAGCGAGCTACTACGGCTCCGAGGACGGTTATAAAGCGCTTCCGAGGGCTCTAGCTTAGGTATACGGTCTAAGTTAGAGTTTTTACCTAGCTACGGAAGTATATAGCGTAACGCTAGTATTAAGCTAACTCCTAGGGCAGTCTAGCGGAAGAGTTCTCGTCGCTTTAATCTAAGGGCTATGTTAATGTCTAAAATGCGTGTTCTTAAGCTAGTAGGCTTCTTTCTAAATCGTCTTATATAGGGCAACGGGACGAACTAGCTAGCCTACTAGCCCTAAGTAGGCGAGGCAGACTATAGGTCTAGCTAAGAAGCTAGACTTAAGCTCGGAGCTACTAGATATTCTAAAATAGATAAACTCTAATTAAATCTACTTAAGGGAAAATTCCTCGGCTATATAGTCCGGCCTAAGTTACGTAGCTACTTAAGCCTTAGGCATATATGCTTAGTTCTTAAGTAGAGACTTTAAGAACAGAGTTCTTAGAGACTTCGAAGCTAAGCAGCTAAGTGAATGAATCGTGTTGTAAAGGTGATCGCGCATGCAAAATTAGAAATGACTTGGCTAAGGTGGTGTTTCGATTCAATTTGATTAAGCTTTCATCCGGCCAAGGTTTCAATATCCTTGCTTCGGGCCGATGTTCTGCTGCTGTGGTGCCACTGTACTAAATAAACATCAACACCTTGTCGACACCAGACTCCAAGTAGACAAAGTCCAACACCGATTGATTGCTCGTTTCCACAAAGTCATGCCCCGCACTCCCCGTATTCGCGGGAGGAGATACTCCACAGTCCACACCCGCTCAATCAACGAATGGCGTGATAGGCCAAGCTGATACCACCCGGCCCGGGATCTCTTGTCGAGCATGGGTCAAATAGGGAGGGCRCCGAGAGCATGAATGCCATGGAAATCCAGATCTGATAACGTCAACCACACACAGTATTATTGTCAACATGGTCTTGCCTGTCGCTAACCCCACCAAATCATACTGGATTGAAGCTGCAGATTCACCTCTGCGGAACTTTCGATCAACAGAGGAACTCCCTCTTGAGACTGATGTTGTCATAATTGGCAGTGGATATGCGGGGGCATCGACGGCATATTGGCTGTCAGAGGTGAGTCCCCAATACCAAGTTTTTGATCATGGCTGATGACCGTAGTTCTCGAAAAATGCTGCCAACAAACCTCGAATGGTTATGCTTGAGGCTCGAGATATCTGCGGTTCTGCCACTGGTAGAAATGGTACGTTGCTCTTCCGTTCCAACAATATAGTAAGAAAACTCACAACTTCAGAAAGGAGGCCAACTACGACCACATGCATACTCTCGATACATCAAATGGTCGGATCGATTTGGTCCGGATGGAGCAATGGAGCTGATTAGACACGAGGTGTCCCACCTTCAGGCTTTCCGAGACCTTACTGATGCAGAAGACATCGCGGAGGAAGTCTGCTTAAAGTTCAATGAGACGTTCGATGCTGCAATGACCGACGAAGCTTGGGACCGCCTCAAAAAGAACTATGATGCCATGAAGAGAGACMATGGAGAATCCAACGATGTTTGGAAGACTTGCAGATTGATTGAAGATTCTCAAGAAGCGGAGGAATTCTCGCAGATGAAGGGTGCCTTGGCTTGCGTGGTGCACCCTGCGGGTCAAATGTAAGCCTTTGTTTTCCATATCCCTCCAGGTTGACACTGACATTTGATAACAGTTGGCCATACAAGTTCGTGCATGCAATTTTGCGCATCATCCTCGAAAGGGGCAATCTAAATCTCCAAGCACACAATCCAGCACAGAAGGTTTCCGAACGAGATGCAGACGGCTGGATCAAAGTTACAACTGACAGAGGGGAGATTCGTACCCGAGCAGTCGTACACACAACTAATCGCTGGGCCTCTCATCTCATGCCAGAATTCAGCAAACTGATCATTGGTGACCGGGCCACTCTTGCAGCCATCAAAGCTCCCGAGGGCTTCATCAAGCATACTGGCGCACAGCACTGGGATGTTGCTGTGAATGTAAGTTTGATCCCTTGGTATTGTAACATAACATATTGGCTGACGACGGGAGAACTACCACCTTCAACTCCCTCCGCCTTCCAACGCCATCATCCTTGGGGGAGGAAGACAGTTCCTGGTGCATCATCCCGATGCAACATTTCCTAGCGATGACGAACATGAGCAGATCGATGGTGTCGCCGAATTCTTCCGAACGTGGCCTACCTCCGATGTTGCAGGATGGGAAGGCTTCTCAGAACTCGCTAGGGACGTGGATGAAGGCGGCTGCTGGACAGGAGGTAAGTCGATGTCGGTTCCCAAATCGGCACGACATTCCCATGCTGACGAATGCCATCACAGTCGAAACAGAAACCGCAGATGCATTCCCTTTCGTCGGCCCCGTACCACATCGTGAAGGTCATTTCATGGCGGCAGGCTTTGTCGGTCACGGTAAGCATCAATCTAAAGCCTACTGTACCCCAACTTCGACTGACGTTCCCCACAGGGATGCCTCGAATTCTTGGCTCGGCCGCTCACATCGCTCCTCTGATCCTCGAATCGATTGGAGTTGAGCATGTGACGCCATCAATTGCTGCTTCTTTCCCACCCTTACCTAAGCCTTTCCGTGCCACTGCGGAGCGAGTAGAAAGACTGCAAAAGGTTGCTGATATCGCTGCTGAAGTGGAGGCTCACAAGCAGAAGTGTCGGGAAAGTGCGGCGAAACCATTCTGCAATGACGAGCGAAGCAGGCCGCGTATTTAGATTATGGGTTTGAAAATTTAGGTTGCGTCTAGTGTATTGGGAGGCTGTAGTCTGCGTTGTTCTAAGGGAGTTTGAATTATGTACACTCAGTGTCCCCTTGGCGACCCGAAAATTTCAGGGGCTAGGATTGGGAGAGTGCAAGATACTTGCTAAGGTGTACACGTCTTGTGTGCTATGCTTAACAGCCTGAATGTAACTAGTGTACGTACGAACGGTCTAGGACGAGGTTGCAATGATACCCTGGTCTGGATTCTTGTTTCAGAACGCGTGCACGCGTCAGTGACGACTTGGGGGAGCACCATGGAGTATAGTCTGCCGTCGTTTCGATGGCCTGTACATCTAGCTCGTAAAACAGCAGGGCAACGATCAGAAAGCCCAACGAATGCCATACGCGATACAAAAGTGCTCAGAGCATCTACACAACACGCTTCTGATCTAAACTCTGATCGCCCTCCACGCGCTCCTCAACATTAACGGTCTCCTCGCCCGTTGACTCCGCCACCATACGGATCAACATGATCACACACGGAATAGCCAACCCCAGCGCCCCGCAATTCACATAAAAGGGAATCCTCCGATCCGACTTGCTAGCAGAGTTAATCCCGTAAGAGATTGCCTGACCAGCCGTCTCGAAAGCACGGAAAAGTCCACCGACACGAGCGGAACTCTGTACGTCTGTGGATAGACATCCTAGCATCCAGTAGATTGATAGTTGACACCAGTAGCCGGCTGTGAAGATTATGAGGTAGGGGAGGTAGGCTTCTGCCCATTGTCTTGTGTTGCTGTTCGAGAAGTTAGACGGGTTTCATTGATAAACCGGGGGAGGGAGGGGGGGGACACTTACGTTCCGTAGTCGAATGCTTTGGTTGCTTGACCGTATTTGCTGTATTCGATACCGATCCAGATGAAACCGCAGATTTGAGGGATGAGCCATACGAGGAATGCGATCCAGGCTCGTTTGCCTCGTGACCAGCGCTTCATGTCGAGGAGGCGGCCATATGCTATTACCATGGGAATGACAATGGTTGCTAGATGACGCGTTAGTAGGGATATCGCTTGTTGAGGGCTTCGAGAATACTGACGAACGAGAAGCGAGGACAAAGCTCGCGATCGGACGGAAAAGTGGAGGGAAAGGTAGGTTCCCATTGTACCTCCATAGAAGAAGGAATAGAATGCAGGCAGGAAGATGAGCCATGTCTTTCCGGATGGTTAGCAGAGGACACACTACGCAGGATGAGGGCTTCTTACCTTTTTCTGCATCATCACTTTACCCAGAGCGACGAATTCCTCCTTCCAAGTGGCTTTGCCGCTCATCGGAACCCCATCTCCGTTCCGTCTTCGGACTCTGCTGGTTGGAGATAGGAGTAGAGCCCAAACAAGTCCAGTACACTCTGTTAAAGGTCAGCAATTGTTTCACAGCATTTTCTGAATGGACACCATACCGAAACCCACGAAGATCAAATACGTAGACCAAGCTATACCTCCTGCGGAAGACTTCTCACTGTTGGTAGAAAAGTTGATCGCTCCTCCGATGACACTCCCGCTATTTCTCATAGCGGACCAGACACCCAAGTAGAATCCTCTGTCATCTGGAGGTGGATAAGAAAGCATGGCAGTCGTCTCCGCGACGTATAGGAAACCGGAACCTATTCCTCCAATGACCTGTTCACCATATCAGTCATCCCGGCTTTCTTGTGTCGTTTCCTTTCTATTCCACTTACCTGCGAAGCAAGCAAATACGACCCAATATCATACTTGGCCGACACATAGTACGCGCTTCCCGTCAAAGGAAAGACACAAGCTGCAATGACACAAGACCACTTGATCCCCAGCTTATTGATCAACGGCCCTCCCAAAAGTGTCGTTAGACATCCGGTGGTATAGTTGAGAGAATTTGCCAAGTTTGCCAGGTAAGGACTAGCGAGTCCTCCGCCGCCAAGATTGGTTATTGCATCGCCCATGGCTGGGCCGACGAATGAGAGGGCACCGAAGAGCACCATTTGGAAAAGTACGCTGCGGAAGAGTGTTGAGGACTTCCATGGTTGGAGGTGTGGTTGGCTTGGTAGTGAAGCTTGGTATCCGACTGCTATGTCAGGAGTGGTCTCTGAGGAAGTTGTCGTTGTGATTTTCTTGACGTCTGGCTCTGGATTGGAGGACATGTTCGACAGTGATACAGAAAGTGGTTGTTGCAGAAAAGTCCAAACTGAGAGATAATGGGGCTAGTCTTGGATTCATATTCTCCGCCGCAATCACAGGCATCCTAGCGTTGCTACTCAATCTGTATCTATGCGGGGAAGTTCTCTGGTCTTTGATGGAGAATGTTTGCAACATTCGCTTTGACCTGATAAGACGGCCTATCGGCAAGAAACCACCGGCCCGGGGTCACCTCACGCGATATGGCAAGGATGTGCTTACTTGTCCAACATGCTATTGGACCGGGCCGATCATTTAGGTTCATTATTGCCACGAGGGAATGGCGGTATAGCTTAGATGCTCTAGGCGAATGCTTCACCCCCTTCCACTGGAAATGGAGCCTTTGACAGCATCCTCTGTAGCATCAGTATTCTCGACATCCACTTCTTGCGCCTTCTGGTGACTTCCAATCTCGATCGCCATCAGCTTCACTGGCGTCGTGGGGAAAATGCTGATTCTTTCCACGCGTTTCAATCCCAGCTGGTCGATCCTCTTGCGCTGTGCCAGCATCCACGCCATCCCAAGCCCATTAGGCGTTCCCAAAAGCGCTTCGAAATTGTCCCCATCCTCCTCGGTGAATATCTTATAGGTACCGGGCTGACATCTCTTGCTCCCAAACCGTCCGCCATCACTTGGTTGATCACACCCAGAGTTTTGTCATTGTTCACGTCACATTGCACGACTCTCTCCAAGTCCTCTGGTGTGGAGGGAAGTTCCGCCCCCTGTAGATAAGTCACATCCGACCAACGACCCAAAGAGGAAGCGGTTGGCCCTGGCTCCCTCGCTTCGGACGGGCGCCTTACCCTTGTAACGAAGATGGTCTGGCTAGTGATGCTTTAATGCTGACAGTAGTAACCTCCGCTGTAATTGGAACTTTCCGGGATTGCAACTGCCCATTGAATCTCCTCATGTGCCGAATCGGACGTATCGATGCTGAGTTCGTCTGCTAAATCCTGCACGCCGATGATGGATTCGACGCTTTCGACGTCGGAAAATATTTTTTGCCAGCCGTTAGTCTCCTGGCCAGAGTTAATGTCACACTCGCTCGATCGCGTTAGATGCGGAGGTTTGTTGATCTCCTGGAGAAGTTTGTTGCTTCTCGCAACGGGATCTTCGTAGGTCGAATCCGAGGAGCACGACATGGGCCTCGCACGGGAGATCCATTGTCGCTAAAGCTGGTACGGCTAAGACATTATATAGATGTACCATTTCAGACTCCTCATGTCGCCCAGAACAAAGAGGGACATGACAGAGCACTTCCGAAACCTGTGTGGAGGTGCTGAGCAGCCGCTCGCGGATGCCTTCTCTACCAGAGAGACGAGATGAAAGTTCTGGTTATATTCCAGCTCCGTCTCTGCCAAATCATTTTTCAGCGATACCTCCAGCATCTCTCTCCGCCCGCTTCAGCACTTTCCTAGCCTTACGGATCTCGACCTCAACCTCACGCATTTCTCTGGCAGAATTTATTGCCTTGACGAGGGCACCGCCGTCCTGAACGGCCTTGGAGAAAGACTTCTGAGCGGAGCGCAGAGCTGACGGGATGAGGATACCAAATTGGCGAAGAGGGTCTGTAGGCAGTCGTGGGTGCTCCTCTTCTGATTTTCTTTCTACACGCTCATGAGAATTTTCAGGCTCGGGAGTTGGAAGCTGAGTTGGTTCCGTCTTCCAATCCGGATCATGTGCTCCATCTTCCGGCTCTGGAGTCGGAAGGCTTGCAGACGGCGACTTCATTACTTCTTGCATGACGGTGACTATCTCCACACTTAGAGAGTCTCCCGAGTCATCTGACACTTGGACTCTGGAGCTGGCCACAGCACGTTCATCGTAGTAGTCCTGGCCATATCGTCTGCCCGAAGATGTGAAGTTTGCCTGAGCCAAGGACAAGAAACCCTGCCCGAGGGCTTTTCTGATGGTGTCTTGTGCTTGAGTGTACTGCTCCAAGAGATCCAAGTAGCGGATCCATAGCGTGTCCAACTGTTGGTGTAAGGAAGTGATGGATTCCAGATCCGTCATTGTGATTGTGGTGATGTTGGGTCCTTGTCAAAAGACGCGTCTCATGGTCATGGTTACCTATTGTTGGAAGCGGACTATACTCCGCGACATGTGGGCCAATCGGCGCCGATGATCGATCATCTGGACTTCAACCCTCAAATCTGCCAATCCACTCGGTACCTACCTTAGCTACGATTCCCTCCATTCGTCCCATCACCACAATGTTGCCCTCTTCTCGCATACGAATACTTTCCCTCCGCCCTCTCCGTCCACCTTCGGCACCTCGCCCCCGCCTCTTCACCGTTAACGTCGCCCGCCAAACTCTCCTCCATCAGCAGCGCCATCGTCCACAACTCCCCTACCTCTCCCAACCGGTCTCCTCACCTCCTCAATTCCGTCTCATCAGCACGGAAACCCGCACATTTGTCCGTGAACAGCTCTTTCTCGCAACGAAATGGACAGCGATCCTCTGGACCTTCCTCTTTCTGGGCGGCCTGACTTACTATGGCGTAACCACCGAGCTTTCAGAGCGTCGTAACCCAACGCCTCCAGAATGGGGCTTCTGGACACGGAAGGCCCTACGAGCGGCACGCTTCTTTTCGGATGAGGAGTTGCTGGAGACCATGGGCTTCATTGATTGGGCGCGTACGGGTGGAAAGTATCGTAGTGCGCTGGGTCGCTTGGAGGATCCCACAGGGGATGGCAAAGGGGTGGAGATTATTGATGGAGTTGGTGCGGATGTTGAAAGCAAGAGTGAGGCGTGGAGGACGGGTTACTGTGAGGTTTTGATGGGTTGTGCTCGAGCTGCGGAGCATTTGGATCAGATGGTCTTGGATACTACGCGTAGTATTGTCTTCCCGAAAGAAGTGGTGATTGGCCCTGGAAATCCCGATCCGAGACCAACACCGCCCTACATGAAAAGCGCGCCGCGGGAGGAGGACTGCAAAAAGGCGTTCCAGGCGCCGGAGCTGTTCTACACGAGGATTTTGGCTGGCAAAGGGTTCTCAAGGAAGGAAAGAATTGAGGCAGCGGTGGCATGGGGAAATTGGTTGACTTTCACAGGTGCGGAGGAGAGTGCAGAGGAGACATATCGATGGGCTGTGGACATTGCAAAGGAGGCCGCGAATGACGATCTTGTGGACCCCAAGACGAACGTTCTCGATGTTGGGAAGGGAGAAGTCACAGAAAATCTCCTTGTTGCGAGTACGGCGCTGGCAGTCCATCACGCGCGGAAGGGTAATGTGGATGCTGCACTACCCATCTTCCTTTCTGTTCTGCGGGCGAGGAGGAGTGCCCCTGTAGCAACACCCCCAGCTGAAGATGTGGAGGAGAAGAGAGATCCTAAAGGTCTGGCGCTCCTCCGTACCCTTGTCACGCCACCGACGTTCCCGGCACCTCCGCCTTCTGGTGATACTCCTTACATTCGATCCAGTCCCGGCGAGAGCTGTGACGAAAGCGAACTCATGCTTTACATTGGCGAGATTCTCTTTGCCACATCCGCAGCGAAGGAAGTGGGGGTTTCATGGACACGTAAGGCTGTGAATATCGCGGATGAAAAACTCAGAGTCTTGCCCACAACTGAGGAGGCGCAAAGGAAGAAGTGTCGGGAATGTCTGCTCACTGGCGTTGGCAATTGGGACATCATGCTCAAGCGGTTGGAGGCTGAGGTCCATGACAAGACGGTAGAAAATAAAGGATGGTTTGGTGGCTGGTGGGCTACAGGGAGGGAGGGCGCGGAAGCGAAAGACGAAATCGAGATGGGAGCAAAGCTCTTGGGCCCTCTGAGGGAGAGAATTGTCCAAGAAGGGATCGCGGGAAGTGTGAGCAGGAGAGGAGGGGGATCGGGCGGTGTGTGGATTGGCTGAGTGAAACTCCAAAGCCCTCCCTTCCTCTCTCTCCTCGCCATTTTAATGTACAGAACAATGTACTCGCACGCGTGGCGACTGCGCTGTGGTAAGTCCAGTCCAAAGGTCTCGACCCGCCGCTGCCATGTCTCACGTCTTCAGACCATAGTTTGCGGGCCCCACGTCGCTGAGCACAGAACAGAAGCGCAGAGGAAGGTCCGATATTTCTCTGACCGCAAGCTGCGCAATGAATCTTCCAGGGTGAAAGTACTGTAGCGGAGTCTCAGTTAGTGAGGTGGAAAGTGCAGTGAAAGATCTTGCGTGGCTCATCTTGCGAGCGGAGCGGAAATCCGCCAATCTTCTTTTCCAAGCTGTCAACAAACTATCACCACTTCATCACCCACCTCGGCCGCAAGTCGKAGTCTCCATCACCATTGAGCCCAAGGAGGCCGGCAAGGTATGTGAGGCCCGGCTCTGCATCTGCGCGTATCTACCGATCCACGTCACAGAGCCGCGAGCGGTCCGGCAGCAGCAGCACCCACCTGTCAGTGCCACCAGCGTCTTCTCCCATGCAGCTCCGCCGGGCAGTGTTCCAGGTGGATGTCTGTGTCTGCACGTTGAGACTGCAATCTGWGAAGTATGTCTTGAAGCTAAATAGGTGTTGAGAGCAAAGTTACGAAAGCGACAGCCCAAAAAGACAGAAGTCACAACAAGAGTAAACTCCCTCATCATCCCCCCAACCCTGATGATCCCTCGCGATACGGCCAGAGATTTGGCATGGTCCATCCTCCACTGTCATTCGCTCGACCAATATATCGGGCAACGGCTATAAACGGCAGGAGCAACTTGGCATTGTCTTGGTATGCATACTGGGCAGCTGAGCTACCATTTGATCTCCACCAATGATACAACAAGTAGCATGGTCTCGTAGTTTCACTTACTACGATAGGCAGGAGCATTTGCGATATCGTGTCTGTAGAATTCGCCGAAAAAAAATGCAGCGACCTGACAGATAGCGATTGGCGTGAAACATGGCTGAACGTCTCGCTTATATTGTGGCGAGAGTGGGTGGAATGCTTCCTATTGTAGGGCTGCATCACCTCCTTCCCCAGCTGGTTAGAGGATTGCGAGATGGCTGTGATGATTCACTTATATGGTGCTGGTGGCCGCCGCCGCCAGATGGAGGTCAGCAAAATATACACACACCGTCAAAATGGTGCAATTATCATTCCTACTGTCGATGCTGGCTGGCACAGCACTCGCCGTGATCGATTTTGGAAGACATGTTGGAGAGTTCAGCAAAGAGCAATATGTCTCTGGCGAAGTTCACATGAGTTTGAAGCAGAGGAAGCAGGCATGTTTGCAGCCTGATGATCGCCAAGAGCATTTTGACTGACAAAAGGACAGTCCRCATGGAAAGCAGCCGAGGAAGCTGGGGTCTTTGCTTCCGCGCAATATCCAGAGTTGTCCTACACGAAATGTGTCAACGGCAAAGCTGTTGCGAGCCCAGGAGGCGCGGCCAACACCTTCCGCTGTCAAAACGTACGGCGTCTTACTCTCCAGCTTGCAACAATCCTAAACTGACGCCAAGTAGATGGACTTGTACCATTTCCTCAGCCACGACACTCTAGGTGATACTCGTGGTGAAGGATCCTCGTCGTGGGGCTGGACCAACACCGACGGACGAGAGTTCGTTGCTATCGGCCAGTATACCGGTACCGCATTTGTGGAGATCAACTCGCAGGGCAAGATGTTATTCTTGGGGAGACTACCTGCATACTCTGTGGCTTCAGAATGGCGAGAGATCCGCGGGTACAAGAACTATATGATTATAGGTTCCGAGGCCCAGAACCATGGTATGTCTCTTGGAATGGCGGTGATGGTGTAGTTGCTGATCCATTCTATAGGCATCCAGATCTTTGATATGAGAAAGCTGCTGACGATTAACCCGTCTACACCGAGAAGTTTCACGCAACAGGATCTGACCTCGTGGACCCGAACACTTCTCCCTACAGGTAGAGCGCACAATGTTGTTGTAAATGAGGAGAAGCAGTACTTTGCGGCAGTCGGAGCACTTCCGCGTACTGATGTCTGTAAATCTGGATTCAGCTTCTACGATATGGTCAGTGGAATATCAACGCAACATCGAAAGACTTGAATACTAACAATCGTTAGACAAACCCCGCCAGCCCTCGTTCTCTAGGCTGCGCTGCGGGAGATGGCTACGTACACGATGCTGAGTGCTTGGTGTACCGCGGTCCTGATACTCGCTACACCGGTCGGGACATCTGCTATGCTTACAACGAAGACACCATGACGATCTACGATGTGACCAACAAAGCGAATGTAACAAACATCATCGGAAAAGTGACATATCCTGGAGCTCGATACGTTCACCAAGGCTCCGTGCTGGACAGAAGCAACCAGCAGTACATTGTGCTCGATGATGAGCTCGACGAGCTGGATAAGGCTGGTGTTTCTGCGAACGTAAGTGACAGCATGAACAATTATCTACGCGTTTGGAATACTAACAAACGTAGGGCTTCGCAACGACATACATCGTCGACATCAAAGATCTCCGCAATCCACGCATCACTGGTAACTACCAAATGCGCCACAGATCGATCGATCACAACCAGTATGTCATTGATGGCTATTCGTATCAATCCAGCTACGGTGCCGGCGTGAGAGTCTTTGACGTTCGCTCCATCCCAAGCGATCCCACCGGAAAGGGTGTCTGCGAAGCTGGCTTCTTCGACATCTATCCCGAGGATGATAATATGACTGGGGGCGGACAGATTGAATTTTTGGGAACGTGGTCCAGCTATGCGTACTTTAAGTCGGGCTACATTTTTGTCAACACGATTGAGCGTGGTGCGTTTGTGGTCAAGATGACTGGCAAGACTTGTGTGTAGTCGAAGAACGGATGGTGGATTGGAGTCTGCTTGGCTGCAACATGAATGTTGTCTGCGTGAGCGAACACTTTGAGATGATGTTCAACATGATGAGTTAGTTGGGAAAGCGATGAGAACTGCAAAAATCCTGCAGAGGTATATCATTCCGGAAGGATTGAAACGGCAGAGCCGCTGGCAGAGGGAGGAGGCGAGGAACCATCCCAATGAACTTCTCCAATATCGGCAGGCCCCGTGTGACCGACCATGGACGAGAACAGAAGATGAACAGATGAAACACAAGACGCGGTCGTTCCGCAAAGTGCGTGCATCTGACGCGTGAAAACGATGACGCCAATGACACGAAACATGCAGGAACGCGATCGGGATCGCGTTACACCTGCCACTAGTTCCGATCTTAGTCTGAGATCCTCTCCTCAATCTCAGCCATCATCAACGTCCCTGAGAGTGGTGATGCAAGAATGGAAAGTATGGGCAGATTGATTGCATGCTTGTGACATAGGAGGAGGAGGGAGATGATGCCCTGACTAGTGAAGAAAGAGGTCGGGACAGTTCAGGTCCCGGCGACATGTAAGTGGTTCTCGCTTCTCCCATCCACATTCACTTCGCCTACCTTAGCTTGCTATACCTTTCTTTGAATTGCTTGCTTGGGAGTCTAGTGCAGTGAAGATACCTATTCAAGATGGTCGGACTGCCAGATTACGAAGTGCTTCACTTCTGTTTCGACAACGACAATGGATGCTCCTTGACCGTACTTGCAAATGACGAACGATTTCATGTCACCGTCAACCCGAAGCAGTTCCAAGACCGATCGAAGAAAGGGAAAGATATCCAGCGATGTTACAGGCAACTGTTGCAAAAGGCAAAGGCAGCAGAGGAGGAGGAGGATCAGGAGGATGGCGCAACAAGTCCTTCCGAGGATGAGACTGATATCGACAACTCTGCGGACGATGCAGAGATGATTGAGGATCGAGATAGTGCCATCGATGTCTCGACTCCAGAACTGGACGAGAAGGCCAACGAAGGAGACAATGGCTCGGAGCCTGCCAGAGATCTGCACAACTGGATTCTGACGCCTCTCTGTCAGCATCTACCTTCCAGCTCTTCCAAGGCCAAGACAACCCTGCAGGATTGGTACCACAAACCCATCCAGTTTTACACGCTCTCCACCGCTTCAGGCAAACTGCAAGCCAAAGAGAACACTTCTCCGGCCAAATCGCTTACTGATCGCCTCGATGAAATCTTGATACCAACCGTGTGCCTCCCCAAGAAGACTCTCAACCTGTCAATTCCTCAATTCAATGCCTCGGACCTCACGGTCATCTCTTGCGCCACCGATCCGGCTCCTTTCCACCCAGTCCTCGTTTCACACAAGAAAGAGACCTACTTCCTCAAGCCCGTCGATCCTACCCAGCCTGGTCCTACCATCCGTGAGATCCACCTCTTACACGCCATTGCCAAGAAGGGTCTGCATTCAAGAGAAGATTTCCGATGTACAGAGCTTCGAGGTCTTGTGCATTTCTCCTCGGAGTCGTCATCGAAAACATCCGGCGAGAAGAAACACATCGCCGCCCTGCTCCTCTCACCTATTCCTAACCCAACTCCTCTTACCCTGCTTATAGATACGACCGTCTCTGAACAGAAGCGTGAGCAGTGGGCGAAGGATGCGGCACGGATGGTTGAAGTGCTGCATGAAAATGATCTTGTGTGGGGAGATGCGAAGGGAGACAATTTCCTGGTCGATGGCGAGGAGGAGAAGGTGTGGATGATTGATTTTGGAGGTAGTTGGACAGAGGGGTGGGTGGATGAGAAGCTTAAGGAGACGGAGGAAGGGGATTGGATGGGAACTGAGAAAATTGTTAACGCGTTGGAGGATCCTGTGAATGGGACAACTGATGGGGACGAGGAGCAAGAWGTGGGAGAGGAAGCAGAAGAGCAAGGAACGGAGGAGGAAGAAGAAGGAGAAGCTGAGGACGAGGATTCAAATGGAACCGAACCAGAAGAGCACGCGAAACCACGCGAAGCAGAGGAAGAGGTGCACGATGCGGACGAAATCGAAGAGCGGGATGCAGACGACGACGAAGGCAGCGAGGGTCTCGACGAAGAGAATCACCAAAGTCACTCTGCGGACGATCAGACAATCTCAACATCTAGTTCATCTGCACGCAAGCGCAGTCACGCCGCAATTACAGAGGACAAGGACAACCAAGCACCTCCGTCCAAGCAGCAGAAACGTTCGCAAGATGCCAAGTATTGCTTCTGCGACTCTGCATCTTCTGGACGCATGCTTGCATGCGATGGTGAGCAGTGCAGGCGAATGTGGTTTCATTTCGACTGCTTGGGGATTGAGGAGGCACCGCAAGAGAGGCAGTGGTTTTGCGACGAGTGCAGATGAGAGTATTGACCTAGTCACGTTTGAAGACCTTGCGAAGGGTTCGGTGGAAGACAGCTGGTCTCTTTGAGTGTAATGTTGACGCGCAACTGTCGAAGATGCCTTGTTTGCCGCCGCTGAGATATCACGTTGAACATCTGGCCTTCTTACGAACCTTTTCCACTCGTACCGCTGAAGAGAACTTGACTTGCTTCGCTACCATGGAGACTCTTAGAGGTCTCAAGTATCTCAAACCCATCTTCTTACAGTATGCTGTTTGCACACAACCATTCCCGTACAAGGCCGAATCGAAGCTGCGTTACATTGTGGTCCCCTCCCTCCCCTGCGCCATGTCTCTAGCCTTGAAATCGTGAAGCAAACTTGCCGCAAGCTGTTCCGATTCAGAGGCACCGGTGACAGTCATCAGTTTCTCAGGCGGCGGTAGATGATGTAGTCACCACCTCTTCCGAAGGCCACTTCTGCCCTGAAAGTACGCCCAAACGCGTCCTCGATGCCTCTGCGCAGAAGACGCAAGAAATAGTTTCCCCATCGGCCCCTCTTGTATTGGTCATATGAGACAGGCGGGAGCACACATATCTTGACCTCATTGATGAGTGAGCGATGAGAGTCCTGGATGGATGCAAGCCACCTGCGAAAGAGAGCTGCCCCTTCTGAACCCCCCCGAGTGTGGAACTCAAAGACCGCACCGTTGCCGAAGTAAGTCTCGGCGTACTTCGCGCGAGTGCCAGAGGAGACTTGAAGGAGATGCGTGTTTGCAGTGCTTGAACGGATGAAATGATGATGCGCTCTCGTTAATGTGCTTCCGGGATTGTTTTGCTTGATGGCGAATGAACCGCCGGGAACGATCCTCCGGGCGCCAGATGTTGCGGTGAAGACCTCGTCGTGAATTTGGTTGTAGAGTTCTTGTGGGAGTGTGTTCAGGTCGGTCTTCAATTGGCAGAGGAGTTGATCTTCGTTCTCTGAGGTTGGCCGAGAAGTCTCATCATCATCGGGAGGCTTCTTCGTGGTGTTCTCCATGGCTGGCGAGTGCATGAAGTTGGTGAACGAGGTTGTGCGAATGTCTGCCGAGCTGCAGAGATTAGTAGGTGCTAGGCAACAGATTTATTTGCTCGGCGAGGAACACAGACCAAAACTTCCACTTCCCTCTCTGCACCGCAGGAACCCTCCGCAGACATCATTCAGCTGGGCCAGGTTTCAGGCAAGATGCCACATATCAACAATAAAACCAACAATCGCGTCTCCCTCAGTCCATGGAAAGCCATGCCCGCCGGGAACTGTTTTGAACGCGAAACGTTCGCCAAAGAACGACTCCAGGTCCTCTCTCACATGTTCCGCACGAACAACATCATCCTCGGATCCGCATATACAAAGAATCCTTCCCTGAGACATTGGACTCTTGTCAACACCTCGAATGATGTCTCCCGCCTTCTTCCAGGTTGCATGTTGATTTTGCAATGGCCCATACTGCAGGTTGCTGAGAAAGCTCGAACAATGACCTTGGTGATGATCGAACTGGAACTGCAGGGCCGCACTGGGATTAAAATCAGAGAATACGACCTGATCCCTTGTATCGTGTCTCACGCCTAGGGTTGTGGCTAAGAGGCGGCGCATTTTAGCGGCAGAAACCAGGCCGGGATACTGGTACCAGAGACTGCAGTACTCTGCAGGAAGCTCGCGGATGAGTCCTCCAGGTCCTAGAAGGACAATTCCTTCCACGCGAGAGGGATTGTGTGCGAAGAAGTCCAATACAATGCTGCAGCCCATGGAGAATCCTATGAGGGAAAATTGAGAAGTTGCCCAAGACTGTAATGGGGAGGATAGCAGAGCGAATGAGATCTGCAAAGTGTATAGGCGGGAGTTATGCTGACTGTCCGAAGGGGTATCTGTATATCCTCTACCCCAGAGATCTATTCCAAAGGTCAGTGAGATATCGGGATGCCATACTTGAGATACACACCAAAGAGCATTACACGGCAGCCCTTGGATACCAGATCTTTTGCGATTGAGGAGAATAGAGGCGAAGGTGTGGCATCGCCATGACAGAAAATCACCTTTCGCCCATCTTCTGGCCCAAACTCATAGACACGCATTGTACCATAAGGCGTTGTGACATCGCGACTTCCTGGGAAGATATCTGGAGGATATGGCAGTCTAGATGCCTCTTCTTTGGAGAGCCGAGGAAGCAGAGTCGTCCGTGGCGATGGTATGATATCGCGAGATTGTGGAGGGGACTTCTTGTTGGCCGCGAACAGAGCCACTGTTGCAAGGCTTAACAATACTGCTGCTGCTGAGACCGGCACCGCTAGATTCTGAGCTCTGACTGACGTGGATGACATGATTGCAAGATGAAAAAGTGGATAAGATGCACGAGAAAAGTGCAGGGTATCTTGTGAAAATAAGACGCGCTTTTGAAACGGCCGTGTGGTATATGCCAACACCACTACAATCCTTCGCGTTACGGCTACGGTACCGTCGCTCGACTCGCTCAGCCACCCACCAGGCTCAATTCCACGAGAAACTTGACCAGCAAAACCAGGTTGCAAATGTGAGGAAGATGTGAACAAGAGGATGGATCATGATCAAGTGGTTGTTGCCCTGTGTGGTAAGCAGCACGCTTATYTAGGCTAAATGTTGGCGTCCTAAGATACGAGATGGCCAAATTTCGTCTATGTCTTTTCTCCCCCGTGCAATGCCACGCTTTGGAATCATTGAATCGTGGAAAGACTTGTGGGGGAGATCGACCCATCAAATCGGAGTTACAAGACTTTATGTCATGCTCTTAGAGGAGATGGTATCTCGGGAGTATTCCGCAAGATCAGAGTCTGCGGACGTTGTTAGAAGTGTTTGAAGGACTGGCCAAATCGACCAGCTTCTACAGTGGTGTAAATTATGGGAAACTCTTTCAGACATCCGATTGTAGTCTTTCCTAAAGTGCTATAGTCTATGCAGGTACGCTCATACAGTACTTTTTGTTGAGATCAATATAGGGTATCCCCGTCCCTTGAATCAAATCCCGTCAATATCTAATCATTTGCTTCAGGACGCTACTCATCTCAACAAACCTGGAGGACTGTAGACCATCGCACAGCTCCGCCTTCCCAATCAAGCACCTTCCAAGCCCGAGGCGAAACCCTAAATTTCATTCACCCACGTGTGCCCGCATACCCTGCATTCGTTCCCCGCCAATGCGCTCAAACATTATATGTAACATGTAAGTAGCATCTCAGAAAATGTCTGCCATCCACAGACATTGTCACGAATGCCCACCATGGCCGCTCCATCTTTCGACTCCTCATGGAGCACTTTGATCTCCACCTTCACATCCAACCTCACCGTCGACACGAATAAGAGCTACTCCCACCCAGCACTAGAAGGCAACTCTGCGGCTCTGAACAAGACGGTGGATCATACACTTCTGAAGCTTGATGCAACAGAGGCGCAATTCGAACAGCTATATGCCGAAGCGGCGGAATTCGATTTTGCGGTGGGTGCACAAAATCGACAAACTAGAAATACAAGAGCTGGGAAAACTGACGATATGCACCATAGACCGTCTGTGTCCGACCACCACACGTAGCCAGTGCAGTCAAGGCTTTAGAAGGCACGGCCGTCGGTGTCGCAAGCGTAGTGGGCTTCCATGAGGGAACATACTCTACCGAGCATAAACTGGCCGAGGCGAAAGAGAGTATAGACGCTGGCGCCAGTGAATTGGATGTTGTGCTTAACTTTCCTCAGCTCATTGCTGGAGAGTGAGTTACATTACATTATGCAATCATCTACCAGGCAAGCTGATTGACATGACAGATACGCGGCTGTATGCACTGAGCTGCAAACCATCCGCTCAACCACCAGAGGGACAACATTGAAGCTCATCCTCGAGACCTCTCAGCTGAATCGCGAGCAGATCATCGCGGCTTGTGTGATTGCTGGGTATGCGGGTTTCGATTTCGTCAAGACGAGTACTGGGTTCAATGGTGCTGGAGCGAGCGAGGAGAATGTACGGTTGATGAAGGCTTGCTGCGAGCAGCTGCATGCACAGGGTGTCGGAGAGAAGTTGATGAAGGTCAAGGCGAGTGGTGGCGTACGCACGCTCAATGATGCGAAGATCATGCTCGGCGCCGGCGCGGAGAGACTAGGAACCAGTGGAGGTGTGACCATCGCGAAGGAAGGAAAGGAGGGCAAGTCGAGTGCAGGGGGAAGCTCTTCGGCTGACTACTGAAAAGAGCACGTCCTGTCCAATGTCTTCGACAAATTGGGATCATCACATTGCATGGTCTCGTGGGACAGCACATTTGCAGATGTTTTTGATTGTAGACTCAGTACAATTCGCAGATCAACGCAAGCAAGGGTAGCTCCTCGATGCGGATATGYGTGTCTGGGTCCTCACCCAGCAAAAGGACAATGAAGTCCATCTCACCCGAGCTCGCCTTGAAAAAGCACACACACGCCATCTCACCTCCGTCGCATGCATTTGTACACCAGAAAATAGCATCATCACAAACGCCCGCAGTCCTCCGGTATTTTCATCGTCATCGTCTTTTTTGTGTCTTCACAGCGCAGTGGAATGAAGAAGGCAAAGGGTAGGGTGTCGTAGGATAGGCTGACTGGCTAGAGGTATGTCATCCAGCCGAGGTATGAGAGTGTCGTCGCGGTGCTCTTTTTCCGTTCCATCATTCCTCATGACCTCAACATCTCCTTCATCCAGTCCATCCTAGTCCCCTTGCATTCTCGTCATTCCCAACTCGGCGAGTCCTCTACTTCCTCCGGAAAGAGCAGCCCTCGGTGAGACGGGCCTTGCCACCGGTGGGCTGGCAAAGCACCTGGGAGCAGCCGGCGCAGACGACGACGGTTTGTGCGTGGGAGAAGACGGTGGTGATGGTGAAGCAGCCGGGGCACTTGACGTCCATGAAGAATGAGCGTGGGCCTGGGACCAATTGCTGTTACATGGATTAGCTTGGTTGTTCTCAGGATTYGAGCAATCTGGGTGGCGAACCTTCAGCTTGTGCTTGCGGGCCTCAGCCTGAGGAGTTGGGTTGAGAAGATCGACGGCGAGAACCTGCGCATGTGCCAGTCAGTGGAAGTGTTCGTGGATGGCCAATGTGATGCAGTCGGCCGCGCGCGGGAGGCAAATCGAGCAGTATAGACTGTCGTGTGCCTTCTGCGCGCGGTGCCGGCTCTGCATGTGGCCGGAACGCACCATATTTGCGGTATTTGGGGTGTAATTGGTGTGTAGTGTCGCAGTTCGATGAGATTGACCGGATTGTGGTTGATTTGGCGATGCGATGCGCTGCGGTGACGGTGTCGAGGGATTCGTGGAGGTTTGAGGATTTGAGTGTGTGTTGCGGCACTTGCCGAATTTGTCTCCACCTCGCTTGGCTTGGCGTCCAACAACGCCACCCTGCAAAACAGGACCCTTCACTTCACCTCACACTCTTGATCATTATCACCGCCGACGTCACCTGAAGCAACTTGGCGCCTAGCTGACTGGAATTATCCTTAACTGAATGACCATGGATGTGCGAACTTGACATTGAGCGAACAGGACGATGCCTYCAATCGCTGACCCATCAGTGCCAGTGCCAGGTGTACCTTAGGTGGCCTTCGTGTCGGACGACAATCATCATACTTCGTTGCACATGTTCCATACACTGATTAATACGGTCAGCTAGCTGTAGCGTTCTGCTCCTCTTTGACGGCACCGAGTTCTTGTTACAATCTCTTCGCCCTTACACGCACTGACATCATATGCGTCCATCCCTCGGGTGCCCCAGGATCTCAGACCTCTTCCCTGCGCATRATCACGGACAGAGACTCGTACCTCAGGCATGCAAAGCGAGGCATTCACACCATCTCATATTCACATACACAGCCTTGCCGGACCGCAGGAATTTCGTTGGTCAAATCTGCTGGTGGCCATGACTGGTGTTGTCTTACTGGCACTACGCCCAGGTCCCAACTACGCCTCGTCCTGCCATGCCAATAGGTTCGAGCAATTTCACATCTATCGGCGATTGATTTCGCGTCAACAGTCGGCGGCAGAGCAATCATTACGTAGGCTGTCCCGGTGCCAATCTGCCACCCCTAAATGAAAGGCTCGGACACCGATTCGGTATCAGTGTTCGTGAGACACTGCCTTCGAAGTTCACTAGAGCGAAAAGCAACAGACCCGTCATAGATGGAAATTGTGGTCGGGAGTAGCTTTCTTCCTGCCCATTGGCAAGCACGGCAGGTGCCTTTCTTATATTTCTACGGTTTCTCCTTCTCCTTCTCTTCCTTTTCATCTTGCCGCTTTTCTGGTGTAGCCAACTCCTGACAAATAGGACTCCTCGATCTCAGTATTGGCCCGTACCAAATGAACACAAACGGAATGGCACACATAGCCAATGTCGCAAAAGCCAGCAAACTACACGCCCACGTCACTCCAAGAGTATCATACATCGGCTTCGCCGCGAAAGGCAACACAACGCCGCATATACTACGTGCTATACTCGTCGCTCCAAGTGCACTAGCCGCGTAGATCTTGTATGCGTCTACAAGGTAGTTATACAACGCCACGAAGACAAGCACAAAGCCGATGCTAAAAGGTAGGCCGCCTAGGATGGGTACAATCCAATGTACTGAAGTTCGCGCGGACCAGCCGATCCAGAACATCCCGATTGGCATAAGAGGGCCGCCTATGCATGCTAGTGGAAGTCTTTGGTACTCTTCTCTTGAGGCCCAGGTTTTCCTGGCAGCCTTCGCTTTCCTGATATAGGTATCATACCACTGTTCGATTGTGAGCTTCTACAACGCGCGCTGTGTCGAATGTTCAGAACGCATGACGTACGAAAGTTATGGGAAGAGCGAGGATACTTCCAACCACCACTGCGTTTGACCCGTCAGCATTCCCAAGAACGGATGAAGGGATCGACATACGAGGGAGGAAAGCCAGCCCTGTTTCAAGGTTTCCAAATCCATAAATCGCTGAGCTCGTTCGTCAGCACATACGCAAGCTGAGATGAGAAAGTGAACTTACGGGGATATATCACACTAAACGACTGGAACAAAATGAACGCAGTCGCATACATCAGTGACAAGTAGCAGCAAGTAGCGCTGACGATCGGTTCCAGAAGCATCATGCGTAATGGCCTACCAACGATTCTTGTCACCATCTGCAGTGCACCCACACGTTGCAATTCCAGCGGAGCGTAGACATTAGCACCCGTGTGTTCTTTGCGCATCTTCTTGGCCTTGGCTTTCAACAGAGCGGGCCCAAAAGTTTCGGGTAGGAAGAACAGTTGCGGAACAAAACATGCTCCAGCGAATATCAATCCGAACCTGTTGCATATATCAGCACACCTTCGACCCTCCCTCTCTCAAGGACGACCAAACCAAAACGGCCACTCCCAACCAAACTGCACCAAGCATCCAGAAACCACAGGCCCCATAAAGGGCCCCATAGAAGCAACAGTCATAAACCAAGAAATAGCCCTCCCCCTCCAAACCGGATCATCCAGCACATCAGCAAATAAACCACCGGTAAGAGAAATCGGCGCCGCTCCAAAAAGTCCTATAAAAATCAATCAATCAATCAGTCTCCATAATAAACCTTCCAACCCAAAAAAATCCAGGAATGTTCACAAACCAGTCAACAATCTAAACCCACAAAAACTAGCCCACCCAGGCGCGACAGCACACGCAGCCATAAACGCCGCATAAACTCCAAAAGCCCCCAGAGTAATCCACCTCCGTCCAAAGTGCTCACTCATAGGCGCCCACAACGTAGGTCCAAGCACATATCCAACAAGATAGATGGAATTGGGTAGGACGCCTTGGATTTCTTGTTGCACGTCAAAGTGTTCGCGAAGAGATTGTTGGGCGAGTGAAGGGAGGGAACTAGCCATGGTGGTGTTTAACACTACGAGGGTGCCGAGGGCTATGATCATGATTTTTTTGCGTTTAGACCAGTTGTAGGGGTTTTCGGGGTCGTGTGGTTCGAAAGCGAGGATTTGAAGGGTGGGATCTTTTTCGGGAGATGACATCTTGAAGGAGGTGATGTGATGTTGAAGTCCATTGATAGGATGTAATAACGACGGTTATACATGTAGTCGATCAGGAAAGAGGTGTGAGGTAGATAGTGTGTAGGCTAGTGGGTCGACCGTGCCGTGATCGGCAGTAGAGGTGTGGGTACTTTCATTCGGTCTTCGGTTGAGCGCAACGTGCGGAGAATGTTCGCTCCCGAATCAATCACAAAAGCACATTCTCTTCGCTGAGCGGAGTCAGAGGTCGCACGATGGGAAGTCTGGATTATCAATCTTATGTACAGGTCTCATTCACTCCTTCGTCAATGCAATTTCGTAACTTATCATAGGTGACCCAGAGATGCACACTCCATGCCTCATCATGTGCCTTGGATGCCATCCTTCTCTCAGATCACACAGGAAGGTCTGCGAGGTCGTCATCTTCCTCTCCTACCTCTGCTTCTCCCTCCTCATAATCTTCCCAACCATCTTCCCAACCCTCCTCAAGATCGTCTTCTCCAAGCCCGTCGTCCTCATCTTCATCCTCCCCTTCCTCTGGTTCATCTAGTCAACTGTCTTCATCCCCACCATCACCCCAGAGCGCCCGCAGACCCGGCAGATTTCTCGTGCGTGTCCGCCTCTGTTCTCTCCCAGCATTGGCAGTTCCGTAATATCGTGGGTCGTGGTGTAGCTCCGCATTGACTCTTGCTCCCATGGGACTAGCTCCCAGACTGTCCGCGTTTGCATACGCCGCAGCGTCTACGTTGCCTCTACCTCCACTGGATGATTCAACATCACCGTCGGACCGGATCTCGTCCTCTGCGGTTCCATCACTCCAGGAATGAACGGTGCACGTTCCCAACCCATGATCCCAGCCATTCCAACTCGTGGCCGCAATAACTGGTGCATGAGGGTGCCAGCTTGCGTMTCTGACGATCGTCTTCCAAACACCTCCCTGGCCATAATAATCATAGCGATCTACATATCTCTCATCCGAGACTGGACGGGAGTTCTTTGTAGCTGCAAGCACGTTGATTGGCTCTCCCGCTAGAGTGCCATCGAGATTCCAGACGTAGATCTTGCCGTCGTGACTTCCAGAATAGATGTATCGACCATCTGTGGAGCCGGCCGGTGAGAAGTGGCAGCGAATGAGTGTTTTGAGGACGCGATGACCGCGGAATGTGACGAGTGAGCAATCGTGAGGGTGAGGTGTGTGGTCTGCAGTATCATAGGGGGAGAAGCGATAATCAAAGTTGGTTGTGTAGTCCTATCGAAGAAGTTAGCATGAGTGATCATCAATGGCATGTCGATACAAACCTGTGGGTTTAGTCTCTCTCCCTGATCTGTCGACACCATCTTTCTCAAATCCCACAACTTGCACGTCTGATCCTTGGCGTTGCTGATCACATAACGCCCATCGCCTTTACTGTCAATATATGTGAGTCCTTCGGTGTGACCAAGAAACATGCCGGCCGGTCGCATGCTAGCAAGACTTCTGCGATCCCAGACTTTCAGCGTGGTGTCGTCGGAGCCGGAATACAGGATGTGAGGTGACATCTTATCGCCAAAACACACTGCATTGACATCATCTGTGTGGCCAGGAATCCTCAAGATGCTCCGCTGTGCTTCAAGATCGTAAACGTAGACACTCTGATCAGATGTTCCTGCCACTATCTCGTTTCCATCGCCACTGAATCGAAGAGACCAGATTCCGAAAGAGCCTCTCGAACGTCCCCAACCACCGCCACCTGCCCGTGAACCACCACCCATGTCTGAAAAGTCCAGAAGTCGTGGCTCGGAAGTGTCACCTTGTTCTGTGCGGGCAAGACACACCCTACTGCTGATACTGCTGTATGCTAGAAGCTTGTTGTCCGGTGATAAAGAAGCGTCCGTGATGGTCCATTGGCCACCGTAGTAATGTACAGTATTGTAGTACTTCCAGTCGTATAGATTACTGGTATCGTACATTCTCACCTTGAAGTCCTGTCCGCAGGCGAAGAAGAAGGAACCGTCGTCGGAAAATTGACCAGAGTAACACCGATCGTTGAGGTTGATGATGAGATCTGCTTTGGAGCCGGGGATCATGTCTTGTGCTGCAAGACCGCTCAAGACGCGAGCTCGGCCTCTACTCTCGACACCCATCTCACGGTCCAGCATTCGACGGGATAAGCGTTTACGCTTACTGATGGTGTCTTGTGGATATGGCAAGCCGCAGGAAGTATGCGCACAACGATCATTGTTTCCAAAGGTGCCATTCTCCATCAGCTCCTTGCCCTCTTTGGAAGGGATTGGCGGATATCGATCTCCAACAACATTTCTCCGACGTTGCCGGTTTCGTCGACCGCCATAGCCCAGATACGATTCGTCTTCGTCGTCGTCATCATCGCCCGCGTCGAGCTGAACAGGTCTTCGAGCACCGCTAGAGCGAGTCGTAGGACCAGAAGGCTGTAAGATGCCTCGAATGCCGGCATGGCTAAGCAATTGCAAGATCTGCTGCTGGGTTACTACCACAGCGAAGAAGGGTCAGTATGTCAATGGAAAATGCTTACGCGTCTTTGCGCCGCTGAACTGAGGTTTCTCAACAGGCCCGGACGTGCTGCCGTGTTGGTGTTGGTGGTGGTGGTGGCGAACGTACTGGTGATGGTTTGAGCTCTTGCCGGCGCTGGCTGTGGTGTTTCATTGCCACCTGCTGCTTGCTCGTCTCCCTCTTCATCGTCCAAAATCTCTTCTTCGACCTCATCGCCATTGCCCATTTCGAATGTCACTTCATCGCCGTCCTCGTCTCGCAGCGTTCCATCTTCGGCGTCGTAGTACAATGTCGTCTCCTCTTCCTCCTCCTCCTCCTCTTCATCCTCGCCATCATCCTCCTCGTCGAAGAAGTTCTCAGCACCAGTATCGGCGAAAGGGGTCGTCTCATCACTGGCGAGCTGTTCAAACCATTCGTCAGCTCTACAAACACCATCGATCAATGCAATGGCTGTTCGCCTCTCACCGTGTAGTCCATGTCGTCATCGCCGGTGGATTCCGTCTCGGTATGCCATGATGCAGGCGGGGAGGTGTTCCCAGGAGTAGCCATATTGTACCGATCYCTCACCTGGAGGATATGTCGACACTGTCGTCTGACAGCTGCGGTTGGAATGGAATGCCCGTTCCACTGGCCTGGAGAGCTAATATGTAAGGTGCCGAGGACGATGCGAGCTTGAGCTTATCGCTCCAGCAGATCGGATCCGTCGGATTTAGCGATTATAACCCCGGACCCCACCCTTCCCCTTACCTTACCTTCATCGCATCTCTCCCTGTTCAAGTCGACATCTCTCTCAWTAGCATACCCCAAACAGCCCAGAAGGACGATGTGGCTACCAGGGMATTTATGCACCGTCCATGAAGCATGACTACACTTGCCAAGGATAGCGGATATTGCCATGTCCAGGACGGCTGTTCCTCTCGACGGATCAATGTTTTATCACTTACCTCGAGCCTATTCTGACCGCTCCGAGAGGCCCTTTCAAGATCTGAGTCCATATTCACTTGCCGATGAAGCAGACCAAAGTAAAGCAAGATACTTCCGCGAAGAAGCACGGACCGCTGCGTGATTTGAAGGACAGGATGGCGAACCTCATGTCCTGGCAAGGGCAGCGCAGTCTCGGTCAGCCTGCCCGCGAAGGAGTCGTCTGCCTTCCTCCCGCTTAATGGAGCCGAGCTTTCTGTATTGGATGTGTCCCGACTGTGCTTTAATACGCAAAATTGCTCGTCTCTCAAATGATGGTGTAGTCCAGCCTGTTGCAACCCATACGACGCTGGCCAATCATGTAACGGCGACATGTACGCAATGCCGAAGGCGTGTTATTGATATAGACTGGCGACCATGCACTTCGCATCCTTCTAGCGGCATCTCTTTGTTCCGTTCACCTCAGCCGCAGCTATAGGATCCAACAACACTCGGCTTGACCTATCACAAGTTTTCGTTACAGCCACGTCTATGCACGATGGATGAGTAGCCTACACTTTCCTTGATTGCAATTCATGTTCGAGAACGTCAGCGTCCATCCCTTGCTGTCCAGACGTGCCTCTAGAAGCACTTCGGTATAAGTCCGCTGCGACCAGCCGTCTCAGAATTCCTCACTTTCCTCCAACGCAGATGTAGCAAGACAAGATGTTTACGAGCAAGCCACTTGGTGTTTTGTACTTCATGTGTTTATTTCTGACTCCAATTCAATCACAAGACAATGCATGTTCATCACGGGCACCTCTCCCGGCTGGGAGTGGCCCAATACCAACGCCAGACACACCAGTAGGCGCTCGCTGATTTCCAATCACGCAGAAACAGACTGACAGTTCGCAGTCCGCCTTCTACGCCCTGTCAGCTATTCAAGATGCATCGAACAATGCCATGACACCAGCCAACTACACGCTTGCATACTCGAACCTCCATGCCAGCTCCAGCGCTGAGGGCTACCAAGGGTACTCGACGCTGTCCAGCTATAATGTGACCGAATGTGCTCGCTCCTGCGAGCTCAATGATCGTTGCGTTGCATTCAACATTTTCTTCGAAAGAAGCCCTTCGGTGGTACCAGGCGACGAAACATGTACGAACCCACCATCGACTAGTAAGTAGCTCAGTCATCATCTCTTCAAGTCAAACACTCACAACAACGTAGCTCTAATCAAGTGTGTCCTGTGGTCTTCCGAGGTCTCTGCATCCAACGCAGTCAACGCAGGCCAAACTCGCAGCCAATTCGAAGTCGTAATCGCAGGCTCAAACGGCTACAACAAGCGCAAACCACCACCAGAGCCAGGTTATCTCGAGCCCGTCAACCTCGGCAAACGAGCCATCTCTGCACCCACATGCAATGATGGAGTGCGAACAGGCATCACTCAGATATTCACCTCCACAACCGACCCATACAACGTCACAAGAGCCGCTCAATGGTGCGACACGCAGTATACCAGAACTCGCCCGTGCTATTTCTTCAACTGTTATCTTGCTACTTATGCTTCTGGACCGCAGACAGGACGGGTATTCGGACAGATCTGCGACTTGTATTCCACACCGTGGGGTAAGGAGTACGCTACAAAGACACAAACCCGTTTCGATGGGCCAACGCTGGATGTCTCGCACAGCTTTTCGTACACGTCAAGCGATGCCCCGGCTGCTTGTGCTGCGCCGCCACCAGCTTAGACTGATGTTTCTGTTAGGTTGAGACGATGAGTACTATGAGAAAGGCTATCGACACTTGTTCCGTGTTCCAAATTGAGTGACCATTCGACTGCAGAATTACATTCTTCTTCCTAGCAGATTGTGTGATTGACGCGGAAGGCTACTGGAACCAGGAAGGAGATTAGTCAATTGCTCCTGAATAGGAAATTCTGGCGCTTTCTATGACTCTGTCAAGCTGGTCAGGCGAACGAGTGTGTATAAAAATTCCTAGAGTCGCCGTTTCCCGTGCTTTGCGACTCGCTCGCGGCAGTTTATGTTATGACTTTTCTACCAATCACCCACCGGCATCCCCTATAAATGAGCACATTTGAAGCGTTCGCCGACACCTGTAGATACCATATGCAGCTAGCTATACTTCGAGTAGTATAGTGAACTCCAAGGATCAGGTCCACTACACTATGCAGAAGCCAAAGGACTGGTATTAGAGGAGACGACGCCAATGACGTGGAATGAATATCTGTCGAGATGGCGGACCTCTCCAGCTTTGAGCAGAGAGAATTTACTTGATGGAGCGTTCCAGAGGCTGAGTGTGAAAATTGATGAGCACAAGGGGATCTACAGTACTTTGTGGGGCCAGCAGAATTATCCTCGCTTACCAAGACATGTTCGGCGAGGGTAGAACTCAGCGGCAGAGATGGTGAGATTCATCGTGGCGGATGACAATGAACGGATTTGCTCTTCTAATTTGTTCAGTTGCCGGCATCTTTTGGGGAAAAAGGGGGCTGGCTGACTTCAGGGGTACAATACTAGCCTGCTTTACAGCATCTTTACAGCTCGAAAAAATCGACGATCCTCTATTCGCTACAGTGCCCAGAAGGCTCGCTCGGAGTTTCTGCAGCTGTAGAGAGACATACCAGTACCTCGCCTCCCTCCACCCAACGGGGTATTTAAAAGACAAATTTCTAGCTGCTAACTAGATTTCCATGATAAAAACGAGCCCGCTCAAAGAATCACAGCTGGTTTCACCGAAACCATTATTGAAGAATGAAAACTCGCGTCCGTTTCACCAAAAAGCCTCTTAACACTGCCTCCTCACACCTCTTCTCACGCAGCATCAATCCTAAAGCCGATCTTTATACCAGCGGAGGCTGCTCCAACGGCGTCAAGATCCGTAGGCCACGAAGTTGGACACCCGTCGTCTTCTCCMGCCAGCTAGTCTAGAATCTATCCTGTTCCAAGTATCTCTTTTTTTACGAGCTTCATTTTCGGTCGACCATGTCATGAAGCTTCCATGGCGTTTCCTCTCTTAAATTCACATGATGAGGCTCTATGTCCAATCAACGATTTCCACGTTGCCCGACTCCGATCGAAAATCGCATTCCATCTAAACGCAAAGAGTAACGTAAGGCCGTAACAAATTCTGTCAAGGGAACTGGCTTCGATCCTCCAGTATGTCCCGCAGTTACATGAAGTATACGTATCGACACTCATACCACGGTGATGTCTTTGAATATCTTGTGGAAATACGGCGATCTTCCTCCGGCGCTGAAGATCCATGCCTGCACTACCGCCTTGCTTTCGCTTTGCGGTCTGTCAATCCACGAGGAGCTTTTCGACATGGACACTTACGAAGCACGTAGCGAGCGGATTGATAATGATGTGGAACGCCTTTTCCTGCGGATTTTATGATCTCAGCGAGTACGGACTTGCTTCCCTTTAAAGAGATGTTGCTCAGAACGAACATATCGTGCATGTGATGGATGCCGTGCATCACGGTCTGAAATGGTAAAAAGGACTTCGTTGTTGCGGTTTTCAGGGGGATTTGAAACATTTCAGGAGGTCATTCTCACGCAACATACCATTATCACCAAGCAGGTGCCATAGATGCGAAACTCGAAGCTCCGGACATCCTGATGGGACCTTATCGTCCGATGGCCATGTGCACCGGAGATGGAATCTATACTCTCATGTGGGTACTCTATTTGAAGTAGAGTCGTGGTAGGGGATTGCGATGGAGCTGATCGCTGTTGGTCGGACTCGATATGAGAGGAAAGGGACGCTCATAAAGGTCACCGCAGTATCTGAGCGATGTTTCTGCCTATTACGATCTTTTCTCGCAATGGCGCCTAATTATTCCAGCAGGAAGCCTGTTCGCTTAATGTCTCCAGCTATGTTCTGCTTGCAACTTACGTAGCAGTCCCGCAGTAAGGAGTACGCTATTTACGCCGAGTCCGATGGCAGAATCAACCATGTCGATGGGATGGTCTAGCTGCAGCTCTTCTTGCTGAAAATGAAACCACCGTATTCCATTCCATTCCATCCACTCTTTCGCCTCTTTGGCGTCATCTTCGCCAGTTCGGTAAGTTGCTGCTGCTATATGGAAATCGTTCACTTTGTCTTAGTCTCTGGTAACAATGTATGCAAGCTCCCCTGGCTGGCTGCGCCCATTGGAGAGGTTTGGCGACGCAGCAAGTGTGATTGGAATGTCAAAGAATAGCCACTGATGATCGAGGGAGTGTGGTTGTGGGTATCGTCGATGTCGTGTCTGTCGATCTTGAACAATGTCGCAGATGTTTTCGTCATCCGATTGATCGCTGGTACTTGACGGATTGTCACATCGGGGCATCCCACGAATGTTCGCTGGATCGCTGTGTATAGGTCTAAGTCACCATCGCTTGAAGGCGGCCTAGTCTCAAGCAAGCGAGAACTTGGGTTGATGCAAGCCAAGCCTGTCCTGCAAGCTGAGCTGACGAGCGCTGTAAATCCTCATAGCACTTCGCGGACACCTTGTTTCATCAAAAGCCATTGATGGAATCCACGTAACATGACGTCTACCCAGCACCGTGGTGGCTTCCAATTGGAAACATCACTCTGACTCGCTCGATTCGTCTCGGCCAAGAGGTATACCATCTCTCGCCTCATATCTATGTCCTGAGATGCGCTTGAGTCTACGCTACAGATGAGGCGCCAACTTGCAAGGTTTAAGGCATTTCTAACACATCGCCCGAGACTGGATCTCCTGCTGACCGCCGTGGGTTTTTGCAATAGGATTTGAACGATTTGCAGGTCGCCAGAGCTAACCGCGGTGTACAGCGACGTACCTTCAGCATGACCGACGTCGACCCCACTCGTGACGAGAAGCCTCGTTAGTCGATCATAGCCATTCCCAACGGCTAGACTACTGGCGGAGAGGCCGGCGTGTGATATGACATCGAATCCATGGCGAAGTAGGAGATTCACCATTCGATAGTCGCCACGATTGGATGCATCAATCATGCCACAGTTGAATTGAAATCCCGCAGACTGATACAGTCTGGCCCCACGGACAAGCAAGAGCTCGACCAGTTCATATTGCTGAAGCTTGAGTGCTTTGGGCCACGTTGACGCGAGAACTTCTTCGACGATGTTTTTGGCCACACAGTTTTCGGGTCCCCAAAGTAAGCACTTGAAGATCCCTCTGCGGACGGATGAATTTGGACTTGACAAAGTTTCTTGACCGGCCTGGTCCAGATGCGAAGTTGTCACCCGAACATTATGTTTGAGCAGCAATGCAACACCAGCCAAGCAGGGCTGAGCAATGTAATGAGCGAGCATGCATGGCCCACGGTCTCCTTGATTGGCCGACGCCCCAGCCTCGAGTAACACGGCGTTACATCGGACATCAAGCACAAGAGGTGTAGTGCTGGGAACGGAAGCGAGAACTTGAAGCGACGACTCGTACTCCAGGATACATAGCAATACCTCTTCACGCCCAAGGTCCGCAGCCAGACGAAATGCCGTTTTGGGCGATTTTGGGGGTTCATAGTTCGGGCCAGAAAGCGGCGAGGCGATCGGAAATCCGTTGGCCAGCATCTCTCTGATGACGTGGATGTTATTTTCTTCGATAGCTGTAGCCATTTTTTGACCCATCGAGACGCTTCTTCACATCCAGTCTTGTTGCCTTCTGGCAATCGTCCCATGTACTTGGCACAAAGAAGTCCGAAGGAATGTGATGAAGCCTGCGTTCCTTCTTCTGTACGGTTGCCACAGGGCAGGAGATTAATTCGCTGTTCGCGGAGGCCGCAGTTGTTGGTGATGCGCAGTAGCTTCTCCTCGCTGTAGGGATCGTCATCGCCATGTGAGAATCGTCATCATCAAGAACATCAGACCAAGTGATATCAGGCTGCATATTGCCGCCTGAATATTTGAGTGTGTCTCGATTCTCAGGAGTTGGCGGCCATGCCTCCACAGCCATGCTACTGCCTTGGCCAACGACATCGGATCGCATCGGGAATGGGTCGTGCCATGGGGATGGCATTTGGGTCGAAGAGTACCGATATTTCTGGCTCGTTTCAAATGCTACAGCTTTCGCCGAGCTCGACCCTCGTCGGCACGTTCGTTTGTGTCGTAGCACATCGCCCTTTCGATGGAACGTCTTGGGACAGCGATCGCATTCGTAAGCACCCTTGAGTGGAGCTGCACCCGTAGCATTCTTGATGTGTCCTTTGGATTGTTCGTGCTGCGTACGGTCCCTGTTGGATATGGATTTCTTGCAAGCTGTACATGTTTCTCGATCTTCTCTGCAATCTCGCATGCTCTGCATATTGGAATAATACTTCGAGCCGCCCAGGCTTACGTGGCGAGCTGTTTGATCTGGTTGAATGTTGCGAATTGCGTAAAGTGGCGATGATGTTCCGGTTAGCAGTTGTGTTCATGTAGGATGAAGGCAATATGGATATGGCAGGAAGGAAGGGAAAACACGGGGGAATGATCGCAGGCGAAGGGAAGGCATGAGGGAAGAGCTGGGACTGAAGGAATGTGAGACGACAGTGATCCATACCTGCATTTTTCACACGGCCTGCGAGGTCCATTCGCCAGCGCTCCGAATCGCGACAACACTGCTGTTGCAGCCTTCAAGGTTGCGATCCTTGACCGTACCTTACAGCGTCTTGCCGCATTGGAGTGGGTGGATACCTTAAACGCCAGAAGACGGCCGCTAATAAATCTGGTTCCCGCGTCTTCCGAAGATTGCTCTTGGCGAGACACGCTGTTCGAGGCTGCTAGGACAATAGCGTTATATATACCACTCTGTACCTCCTGTGTATTGTGTGCGGTTGAGACAAGTATCAAGGAGCAAGTTGACAGCGGCAGCGCCCGCCTCTCAACGAACGAGCTCGGGTCCTACCCGACAATCGCGTGGAGACTGCCGCAGCGCAATGTGCAGATCCGCCCGAGGGCGGGGGCCCGGGAGAGAGCCTAGCGCCGGCAGCGCCAACCCAAAACCACAGTGGGTTGGAAACTTGCGCTGCCACCCAGCTGCCTGCCTGTGGTGGCACATTCGCCTGCGGCGGCGGCCGCCTCTTCCCCGTCCTTGCGACGTGTTTTAATGGAAATTTTTCACCTCTGCTGCGAAGGCGCGCCCTGGTTCGAGGGCTCCGTCACGATTACACGGCGGTGTGCAGCGCAAGCGGGGATCTCTTTTGCGATCGATTGTCCATGCTCCAGATTGCAGCCCAGCAGCGCATTCTACTGTGGCTGAGCTCGGAGAGTCATCTCCTTCGATATGCTACCTGTGGTTGTGCCAGCAGCGCATCATCCTCTCCAGGCATGGCATTCCTTCTGATGAGCAGCAAGGTCCACACGCCATGGCTTTCCTCCCAACCTGTGATGTCGGCAGCGCATTTATTTCTTTCTGTACGACCTGGCCATGCATTTCCGCTCTTTAAGAGTCTGTTCAAACGCCCGCGACCTGTACATAAAAGAGGCACTCACATCCATTTCTTTGCTCCCCAACTGACACAATCTTCCAATCATTTCTCAGCTCTTCATTCACCATCGATAGAGCTCAAGCAATCACTCAACAACCGTGGCATTTCCTCCATCGTCCCAAAAGACCATCAGTCCAATCAGCATTCAGGAACTCTGTCACTCCACCCTCAAGTGGCCATCTGTAACGATGACCAACACCACCTCTTTTGCAACTCCACTACAAGTCACCGATCCCTCCAACGACGTCACCGTGACTCTGACAATCCTCTTTGGCGTTCTGACGGCTGTCATTGAGGGTCTAGCCTTGTTCTTGGCCTTTCGCACTTATCGCCGTGGTTAGCAAGGATCGATTCAGCTTACTTGATCGGGTGATGTTGGTGAGCATGGACGTTATGCTGCTGAGTCTTCACCCTTTGCTAAGTTGCCTTCCTCTAGGAAAAGGATATAATCGTACTTTTGTTCCGATTATTGATGTGAGATGGTTGAAATCAGGCTTTATTCTGAGATGGAGGTATCTACATAGCGAGGGTTGCTTGCACAGAGTCTTTCATCACCCAGCGCTCTTCCTAAAATCCGTTGAATTGGTTGTTCCCTTCCCCTATTCCTACCTAGCATTCATTGCAACACAACACTTTCATTTCCCAAGTCTTCTCGATTCATCCCTAGAGCACCAAAGGCAAAGCAATGCAAATCTCCTGACTATCCGGACAAACATTCTTCCGGTCCAGATCCTTGTCGATAGGTCCCGTAGGTCCGCCCGAGTATCTACATCAAAGCACAAAACATCAGCAACCATCTCCAAAATCACCGAATTTCTATGACCTCTAACAAGGAAGACGGCTTCAGCACAACCTCCCAACCTCTAATTCCAAACTTACCGACACAAAGCATCCACACCCAACGGACAATCCTGTCTCGGGTCACTTTTCGCATACTTTTCATCTCCCCAATTCCCCGTGAAATACAACCACGCCACCGGCGTACTCTCATCATCATCGTCATACGCCTCAAATTTTGAAGTCTGGGGATCAAAACTGTAATAATAGGCAGAAAGAGTCGGATCCCACAGGGGTCCCGCATCGGTATGATCTTCTAGTAATCCCACCGGAAGATCCACTCCGGGAATCGTATGGTCGTGCGTACCCGGTTTCGCATAGTTGGCATGTGTGCCGTTGGCGGAATATACCACGGGCTATAAAATATCACAAGCCTCTCATCAGCAATGATTGAGAAAGGGGATTTGATGCATTGATTGGAAAGACTCACCCTTCCACCCCCCTCAAACTTCTCCACGGCAGAATACTCAAACGCCTGTCCACCCGCATGTTGCGAAAACCACATTTCCCTCGGTTTCCCCTCCACGAAACGCAGCATATTATGCTCCCAATCCCCCACATGATTCCCCACATTAATTTGCCGGGCCAGGTAATCGCCTCCGTAATCGAAAGCGTAGAAATACATGTAAAAAACATCTACAGTTGCATTCCCATGGTCGACGAGGATGATTGTTGCGGAGGTGGCGTTGGGGGTTTCGCCTGAGGGGGAAGGAGAGACGCCGTAGAGATAGGGAGGTCGAGGGGATGTTGTGGGGTCCAGGGTGGATGTTAGGTAGACTTTTCCATAGGAGTTGAGGGAGTTGAGGCTGTTCAAGGTCAGAGGGTTGGGAGGGTTGGATATGGGGGTGTAGTTTGAGGTGTAAGGACGGGTGTTGAGGAGTTGGGCGGAGATGTCCGAGGGTCGATAGGGGTCTTTGGAGTAGAGGTGGACTAGGGGGGCGAATTCTGTTACGAAGGAGGGGAGTTTGGAGGGGATTTTTGGCGAGGCGAGGGTTTGAGGTTGGAAGGCGGAGATGGGATTTAGGAGGCCTAGGAGAAGGGGGATCTTTCTTGTGAACATGATTGTGTTGTGATGCAAGGGAGTACTCTTTGCTATATTCAGAGTGAGATATAAAAAAGAGTTCCCTCGAATTCTGATCTGATCAGCGAAGAGGCGTGCCTTTAAAAGAAATCTATTCTCCGAGATGGAGGCAAGATCGTCCACTATTTAACAAACCTTGTAAATACACCTCTCCCCTCCTTAAAGAGAAACATGAGAGAAAAACGCCTCATCACGCTGCCTTTTGATGTAAATGCAAATGATCCGTCCCTCAAAACAGCCACCCACTCCAAATGGCGTCAAGGCAACCCGTTCCACCCTCTCTCGTCATCTTCAACAGTAACTCCCACCAAGATTTTCCATCCCAGCATGTTCCACCTCCCATATTCCAATGAGACCAACACGCAGCCATGCAAAATATCTCCACCTTCAAAAAAAAAAATGACCCCGTCACGTCGAAACATGATCGAGCAGAGCAGGTACACGACGACATGAAGTCCATCCCCCCTCCTTCCAAAAGTAAAAGCACGTTGTCGATCTCCCCAATTCTAATTGGCTCTACCGAAGAAAATCATTCCCCTGCGCAGATGACACTAGACCCGAAAGTAGAAGTCCCGAGGGCCTATCATTGCCCGGCAAACCTCGCCCAACCAWCCAACCAACCAACCAGCCAACCAACCAACGTCGCGTGTAAGGTAGGTAGGTACATATATCTTACTACCACAAGACAAAAATATAGGTAACAACCACGCCACTACCATTATTATCGCTTCTCGATAACGTCATCTGGACATGATAGACCGGGATGTTGCGCACGTGGATGGGAATGGTGGTGCATTAGAGGGCTGAATATAAGCGCTAACTTGCTGCTCTTCGCGTAGAGAGAGAGAGAGAGAGAGAGAGACCTGCTGACGACGAGAGCAATTACTTGTCGCTCATATGATTCCATCATCTTCTCTTCACTTGAACATGTATCATGCATTTCTGATCTCATCGTCTTCACTTCAATATTATTCATGTCTGATTCCATCATCTTGACCGGAATACTTGTGATTCTAATCTCATTCTCTTCACCTGGAAACATGCATGTATATCTGATTCCATCATCTTCACTCGGATACATGTATTTCTGATTTCATCATCTCCACTTTCACATGTATTTCAGAAGGACTAGGCAATCTCTCTATAGACATCCATCTCCATCTCCATCTGTACAAAGATTTATCTGCGACATTCCAACACCAAGTCGAGATTCTCCCTCCCTCTCCGTCTCCACCTCGTCATGCCTATACCTACCATGCATGCTAGTCTCCATCTCGAAATGCCTTTCCATCCCATGCATCCATGCATCCACCCACAGTCGTACACAAAATTAACAGCGTGGTCTTTATTTTTTGTACAGTTCTGAACCATTCATTATGATTCCCACCCATCGCACTACGATTTAGAAGAAGAAAAAGACGGTGCGAGTCTAGAAGATGTACTGCACACATGAAAGATTAGCGAAATTCGACATCACACATATTTTCATCAACTTACCGGAATGAACAAATACGGCACCTGCCTCTCATACTCCTTCCAACTCTCGCCATACTTCTTCCGACACCGCTGGATATCTCTCACGGCACGATGAATGATCATGCCCATGAAGAACGCGGGGTAGAACCAGGGGAAGGGACTGTCAAACCCGGTGATGAGACCCCAGGTAAAGGCAAAGTACAGATCCGCGACGTAATGCGGCTTGCGAACAATGCCGAACCAGCCATCGGCGAGGATGGAATCTCCGGTGGCGGTTTCGATCTTGTTGGGGTTCTTGACAAACTTCCAGGGGAGTTGGGGGAATGTGTTGCGATCGACCGAGTAGCCCTTTTCCTGCGCGCGGAAGTAGTTCTTCTGGGAGTTGCCGGTATCCCAGACCCAGTAGGCGAAGAGGTAGGAGGTGAAGAGGAAGACCAGGACGGGCTTGGACCACGCGTAGGTGGTGGGGTCGCGGTTGGCGAGGTAGATGGTGCAGTGGCAGTAACTGAGAGGCACGCCGGCCAAGTTCCAGAAGATGAGCATGAAGCCCCACTTTTCGTAGAAGATGTCCYAGCTGGTGACGATCATCTCCTCGCCCTTGCTGCAGGCGTTGGCGTAGAGCCAGTGGGCCATGAGGAGGAAGCAGACCTCACCGGAGACGTAGCCGTAGTTTTCGTACTGACGAGCAGCGGCGGAGAGGGTGGTGAAGAAGAGGATGTACCAGGGGATGCGGACCTCGAAGAACATTTTGAAGTCGAGCCATCCGAACATGCGGGGGTTGAGTTCGGCGCCCATGAAGAAGTCGTAGATGGGGTAGCCGGTCATGCGGTGGGTGGCGTCTCGCATGTGGGCGGAGACGTAGGCGACAATGGCGACGAGGAAGCCGGAGATGATGGCGACGGACATGAGCGGGCCGAATTCATCGATGAGCGTGTACATGGGGAAGAGGCCGGTGAAGTGGAGCACGGCGGCGACGAGGATGGAGGTGTAAAACGACCAAACTCCGGAGCAGTAGTAACGAAGCTGCTTGCCATTTTCGTGGTGTAGCGGCTTTCCGGTGGAGTAGACGCCGGGCATGACGAGGTAGAGAACGGCCTCGAAGATGAAAAAAGTCCAGTAAATGGCCCATGCTTTGGCGTGAGGGAAGGCGCCAATGTAGGCCAGCTTGACGAGGTGTTTGCCAAAGGTCGACCACGACATGGACGGTTCCGAGGGGAATTTGCCGTCGTAGTAGGTCGCTCCAATCCACATGTACCTAGGAGRGGAGATGCGTGTTAATGGATGTTCTGCTGTCCTCTTCCATCCCGTCATCTTCCATCTCATCCTCGTCCTCACTTACCACATCAGGGCGGGAAATCCAATCATCATGGCCGTCACTCCGAGCGAGCCACCAAAGTCGAAGTGCGGGTCGGCGTCGATTCTGGGATCTCCACCCACGAGCCATCCATCCACAATCTTGCCCGTTTCCTTGCCTGTACGCGATTTCAATGCGCCATTCGCGCGTTTGGTGGGAGCCGCATGGCCGTTGCTGTATCCATTCTTCCCGTTTCCATTTCCATTTCCATTGCTGGGCGTGTCATCCTCCGACGGCGACTGTTCCGCTGCGATTTCCGACTTGCGCGACCGACGTTGCGTGCCGGGCGTCTCGACGTAACCTTCGGGAAGGGATTTCCTGGAATTCACCGGCCCCGTCAGCTCTCTCCACTTCCTCCATGGATGTATGTGTTGATGGTATGTATGCTCACCTGGGAGTCTTGCCCGTCTGGGAGCGAGTGACGCGCTCCGACATGTTGCCTTCTGTTCCACACCAACGTCGCACGCGGGAGACGCAATGATGTGTGGGATGTTGTTGTGGCGCAAAGGAAACGGCGGGTTAGGTAGCTCGCTCAGAGGCTGCACGGAAAGTTGAGGGGCGGCGTGCTGTGCTGTGCTGTTCATCACCATTGATTGCATTTGGAGGTACCAGCATTAATTTTCCCGTTCCGTCCGACGGATCGTCGTGCCGAGCGAGACCAATCACGAGCTATACGAGTCGTGACAAGGCAGACCAACACCAAAGCACACCAGCCCACTGCAATTTCCCACCGCAATCAATGTTGGTCATCATCTCCATCATCGCGTCCAAGTGAAGTGCTCGGGGGGATGGAATGTTGCTTGCTGCGTGGTGATGGGACTGCGTGGAGTGGACCTGCGTGCGGCGATGAAAAAGGCCACTTCCGTCAAATCGACGGCATTGTTCATGCCCGGTCCGCATGATGAGCCACGCACGAGACGGCCAGCGACAGCAACAAACAGGTGGGTTGGCGCACGGAAGAAGACGACGACGATGAAAAGAAAAGGTGAGGGAAGCAGTTCCATCTCGTTGCCCATCCCATCCATCCCCTCCATCCCTTACTCTACCGTCAGTGTCACCCTGCACACTGACTGCATGGTGCAGCCTCGGACGTCTCCATTGCAAGCGTCGGGTCGCAAACACCTGGACAAAGTCCTCGTCCAATTTCCATCCACTCCACCACCACCATGCATGCATATCATCAACCATTGGATGGGACAATTCTCACATCCAGCTGCCTGAGGTTGGTCGCTTTTCTTGGAAACGCAACAGGCATCACCCCCCCACACGGTGCCGCATCCGAAACTTTGCTATCATTGCCCCGGTTTGGGGTTGGTGATATTGCGCATGTCGCAACTCACCACCACCACTATTGCCCCGACCCTTTAATACGTGCTTCATCAATGCGCGCTGGAGTGCAMTCCGCTGGTGGACTGGGCCTGGTACTTGGACCTCCCGATTGCCCCGGGCGTCCGTGTCCCAAGTGTCCCATCTTCACGCAACAAGGACGGATATGGGATGTCTCACCCGAAATGGCCCTCAGATTTCCATACAGATAATAAGACCGCGAGATGCTCCATCCACGCCCTCCATTCTCTCCTCACCCTTCCATCTGTTGCTGTTGCTGTTACTGCTGCTCATTTCTTCCTCTCCTTCTCTACCTACACGGCTGGACCACCCTTTATTTCAACCCACTGTCTTTTAGCAAAACAACACACGCTCAGGAAAGCTGCAAAATACATATCCACACTCACTCATTGAACTTCAATAAACATCACGCCAACATACTGTTCCTCAACCAACAAGTCATCCTCCTCATTCTCTCCACAAACCCTCCAAAACCATGGGCGCCGGCCGTGGATCATGTCTGAACAGAACCATTGCCTCCATCCTCGGTATCGCCATCATCGCCACCATTGTCGCCGTCTGTGCCGTCTACATTCCCAAAAACCACTATCGCCACCACGACCACGACCAAGCCTTGGGCGACCCGTCCTCCCACGACTCTCCTTCTTCTTCTTCTTCTGATGATAACGACAAGCCCGCCCTAGACCCGGCCTCCAAAGACTCTCCCAACGATATCCCCGCACATCCTGAAGAGGTCGGCATTGATAATGGAATGCCTAAAGTCACCAACAAAGAAGCCTTCAAGAATGGTGGTGCCGCCATCCATCCCACCAAGACTGGTGGCAATGAGGATGCCAAGGATGAATACCATCTGTATAAAGGAGAGTGGACCGAGTTTCCCGGTAGTGAGGACTGGGTGAGTTTTGACGAGATGTGGGACTCGAATCTCCCCAGTGTGAAGACTGCTTGTAAAGATCATGGATGGGGGGATGATAACTCGTGAGTACCCATTCCTGTTCTCCCCTTGACCAGTTGGTGGTACGCGATGACGAACTAATCTCATGAATGACAGAAAAGATGAAAATGAAATGATCAAATCCCAAATCGACTACATCTCCAAGGCATCTCTCATCGACCACCGCTTCATCCTGGCCATCATCCTACAAGAATCCAAAGGATGTCTCCGCGTCACCTCCACAGACTCCCTGCACGGCGTGCACAACCCAGGCCTGATGCAATCCCACAACGGAAGCTCCTACACCACCTCCGACGACGCCGACGAACGGGAAAAGAGCATCCGACAAATGATTCAGGATGGCGCCCAAGGAACCAAACAGGGCGATGGATTGGTACAAACGCTCAACAAATTCGGCAACGTCTTCTCCGCTGCTCGCGGGTACAATTCGGGAGATGTGGGCAAGAGTGGCGATTTGGGAGATGCGATTGGTAGTACGGCGTGTTATGTCAGTGATGTTGCCAATCGCTTAATGGGCTGGATCGCGGTCGAGAGTACGTGTAGTGAGGAGGCGTTGGGGGTGGTGCAGAGTGCGGGGAATGCGTGGCAGGCGGGAACTGCGTGGCAGGCTGGGAGTGATGATGATTGGGCGGCGCCGGCGGCGAGTGATGATAGTTGGTCGGCGCCGGCAGATGGAAGTGCGAGTGCGGATGATGGGCAGTGGAGTGCGAGTGGTGGGGACACATCTTCCACCACCACGACTACGGGCACGACTTCGACGGGCGCGAATTCGGATGGCACCTATAGTGGGGGACATTGGGATACCAATGGGAACTACGTCCAGGGGGGTTCGACGAGGAGGAAGAGAGGCGTGGTGTTTAGGAGTTGAATATTTAAATGAGGCATAGGGGAGGTGAATCTTATCGATTGAGCTGGTCTCCTAGGTTCGATGTCCTCTCTCTGTAATGAATTAACCTTTCGATGTCGTGTTGTGCGTTTGAGAGTTGTAGAGAGTGTTGTGAATGTGTATACATGTGTGTATGTATGTAGGTATGTATGTAGGTATGTATAAGCCGCCGTCTTCTATACAAAGGCATGATTCAATGACGGTCACTTTAAGGTTTCTTTGTAAGAAGTTTGGTAGGTAGCTTTAAAATTACCTTGACGGTTCCATGGGTCGTTATTGAACCAGAGCCGATCTACGGGAAGAATAGTTGTATGGTTGTGTTACCTCATAGCTTGAGGAAATCATCCCATACCTTTAGGAAATCATCATATTCCGTCCTGCTCTGATGTGCACCTTTAATTCTTATTATCTCTTATTCACACTACCACTCACACTACCAAAACCACAACCATCACTCTACTCCCAACACTCTTCACCGACTAAAATAAAATACAATGCAATAAAATTCAATGCTCGAACTCCTCAATCAAGTTTTTCAAAACGATCGAATCGTGGAAGTCTGTACTTGGATTCTACTCGTGTGTGTTGCTGTTTTGAGAATTCGATTGGGATATTGGTCGAATTTGATGGTGGGGTTTGCTTTTTTGGGGGGGTTGGGGTTGGTGATGGGGTTTTTGGGTGAGAGTTAGGGATTGGATTGGGATTGGATTGGAGGGATGGACAGATTAATTGATGGTGGATGGATGGATGGATGGCCATAGGATGGATGGGTGGATGGATGGACGATGGGATGGATTGAGGATGCCGGTACTGTTGTAGCCGGGATGAGATACGGGGCGAGTTGAATGATTCGAATGTCTCGCGAGACTTGATAGGAATGTCTGGCCTCTGACGTGACAACACTGTAATGAAACTGCGGCGAGAAAATACGATGATGTCGTTTACGACCGAGAAGGAGTGGATGGAATCTTTCATCTACTATACGCGGCTTGGGAAGAACATATACCCCTAGCTCTCTCTCTTCTCAGACGAAAGATCAATCAATCGCGCTGGATTGTTTCTCTTTCGATCCACGTCGTAGAACTCTTTATCATTCGTCAAATTCGATCCGTCGCTCTATCTGTCCAAGTCGGGTCTCAATATCATCTGAAAAGCCGCAATCGTCCAGAGAATTCGAGATCGTCACCCTCGTCCAGTTTTTCTGCGAGAGTAGCTCGTAGCCGTGCTGTTTAGACTAGACTACACAAATTTCACATGTCCAAAGAAAGGCGTCTTGTGGAAATTGGCAGCATCAGTGGGACTCCAAGCTCCAAGCAATTGATCCGGGAACGTCTCGGGCTTCACAACCGTGCGGAACTAGAAATGAAGAAACAAAAGATTAGTATACGTCTCCCTCTCCGACACATTTCCAAACACGAAAAGAGAAGATAGAAGAAAACTCACAAAATTCATCCTCCACTCCGTCCCCTTCGCCTCCCCCTCATCAACWTTAAACAACCCCAAAGGAATCTCCACCTCAGAAACCCAAACCCCTTCCTCCCGATCCAACTTCGTCGTCCCTACAATCCCATCCTCAATCGGCGTCTGCAAATACAAAGTATCAAAAGGCTCCCCCTCCGCTCGAACTTTACTAGGATTATAAATAAACGCATTGWAAGTAACATTATTCGGCGCGATTTCGAATTCCAGATACGTCTTCGGATCGTTGGTGCCGCGGGATATGAAAGTTTCCATGACTTCGTATTCGTAGATTGGGTCGTTGGTCGTGTAGGTGGTGTTGTAGTAGAAGTTGGTTTCGTTGTAGGCGGTGAATTTCAAGTTTATGGAGGTTGGCGTGTAGCAGGCGTCGACTTGGGTTAGGGGGAAGGGAGAGGGAGTTGGCATCGCTTGGGAGTATTGGATGGTGCCTTTTTGGGGACATGCTGGGACTTGGAGGCAGGGTGGTGTTGTCGCGGTGGTGTTGAGGGGGAGGATGGCGGTGGTTAGGAGGAAGAGTAGGTTTGATTTGGGATGCATGTTTGTGTGGTGGGTTTTTTTTGGATGTTGGTGCTGGTGTTTTGGTTTTTTGTTGATGAGGTGAAGCTGAGGGGAATAGTGGTGGTGGTGTTGTTGTCGTTGATGTTCCTTGTTCATGCAGCTTGCTTGGCTTGTGACGCGATGTAACAGTCTCATCTGATCCTTCGATCCTTGTCAGCCCCACCCACATTTGAGGGATCGGAACGCCTGATTTACTTATGAGCTGGTAGGCCGAGGTTATTGATCTTGTCCTGGTCAATCACCAATTCGAAGGAATGCTTTGTGGAGGATGCGTGGTTGTCATTTATCAGGCTGCTAAACAGCTCGCAGGGGTCTAAGATCGACAATTTCTAGCTTCATCCGCGGCGATTGACTATACTGTTAGAGATTCAGAGGTGCGATTTACAGGAACATTCACAAATGAATGCGCTCCGCTAGCAATCACACCTACTTAATTTCCAACATGTTTGGGAAGCGTCTCTACTCTACGTTGATGCAGCCATGTAAAGCACAGTGAGTGGCTTTTGATGGCGTACCAGGCCGATTGATTGTGGCACTTCTCACGCATAAGTGCCAGCCCTGAACTTGAATTTACCCTGGCCGAAGTGACGACAAGCAGCCAATTCGGGAACATGTTGGTCTTATCCACTACTCGTACCTCGTATTTGAAAATCCTCATATCGGAAGAGCAGTTCCGTGAACCTCTCTATCGGAACATCACCTTTCTGCGTCGAAGGTTCGTATGGTAGTGATAACCTGGTATTAGCTCATCAATGCAAAGGACGGGAGTCGGTTCCATAGCCTGTGATCCAATCTAAAATATGGAATCTCATTCAGAACAGGCCGAAATGCTTTTGTCGAATTGCATCCATATCCCGGGCGGAAGTTAGAGGGGCTAGAAACTTCTCCCACTTACCTTCTCCTGTCAGAAGTCATGTCAGGGGATGCCATTCCATGCTGAAAGAGATTTCCGGTAGGGTGAAAGCCATCCCGCTGTCTCGCAGGCTGTAAGCGCAACCACGCTGTCCTCCTTGCATAGGATGTCAAGGTTACTCTTCTCCGCGTTCACGACCACGCGCCTTATTATTTCCGCGTTCATCTTCTCCTTGTGCAGGTTCAGGCTGATCGCCATCGCTTGCTGCACGGCCAACATCTGGCACAGTTTCCATTTTTGGAAGAGTTGCGATAAGAGTTTCGCCGCTCCAGATCTCGCTCCCGACGTGTCCTCGCGCTCGGGCTTACCGTCTGCCTGCTGAACGGATCTGGGTCTGCAAGCGGATATACTTGTTGGCTATATTCTCCGGAGTCGCTCAGGATGGATAGCGCGCAGCTACCTCCTCGCCGTGTATGTGCATGCGTAGGCGCTGTTTGAACCGGCGCAATCTAGCACTTCTCTCCCTCTTGACTTCCCAAGCCTTACACACTCGTTCCCCAAACTCGGAATCGGGTGCGGAGCGGTGATAGACTGGCGTGCGCGGCGAGAGGRGGTCCGCAAGATCCGGGAGGTGTACAGAGGAGCAGCGGGGGAGAGAGCCGATCAGCATCGGTGGCATCGATGGCATCGTACACCGGCGACAAAGACAAGAGCGACAACGATGCACCGGACGTGGGTCAGCGTCATATCGAAGTCGCATTTAAGCCATCTGGCGTGCGGAGAGGAGGGTTGCCATCACAAAGGATGAGAGCCCTGGAGGTCATTCATGTACGTCGCCGGGCTCGGGCGCTTGTGTAGCGGGGCGGCCCGTGGTCCGTGTTCCAAGTCTGAGCGCACCCGCTGCATCCCTTCTTCGCATGCAGAGATGGAGCTGGCCAACAGCAAAGGATGCGACGTAGGTCAGGTAGTCATCAGGTGAACTGCTTCGAGCTACCTTATCCCTCAGCCATGCATGTCCCATGCTGCCTCTACTTCCTCATTTTACCGCCCACCTGTCACTCCTCTAAAGTTCCTGAACCACCTCGTTCTGTCCAATATAGATAGGCCGATAGGGCGGTGAAGTCGCGTCCCGACTACTACGCGTAGTAATCTGCAAGATGAGACCGACGTCGACAATCATTCCAAAGACACAGCTATCACGGTATTCTCCAGTCTTTTCGAGAAATTGCTCGCTTACAAGGCTACTCAGCKCGAAAGATCTCAAAAGATCCGCTCAAGGTCGACAATCTCCTTCCATGCGTTCCTCTCCGTTCAGCACCTTGGTAAAAGGGGCATTGTATCCATCTCGGGGTTTCTTATGCAATTACTCTGTGCGAGCTCGAACGCCGACCCTTTCCGCGGAGCCTTTGGATGATACAATGGGAAAGCGTGGTTCTGATCACATTTCCCCTCACGACTACACCGCAGGTCGATGGTTGAGGCGAGACAAGATGCAACGTCATTCGCGGCACGTGAGTTTCGATTTTACTGCTCTGAGCGCGAGAGCCGTCTCGCTGTGCACGCGAGCCCGCAATGTGGTGTCTTGCTACAAAAGAGAAGKCGGATTCAACAAAGCCTTCATCTTTACCATGGACAGTGGAGATCGTATAGTCGCCAGGATTCCCACACGCATCGCAGGTCCTCCGCGGCTAACTACAAACTCAGAGGTTGCGACGATGGAGTATAGTAAACATCTCCTTCCATAGTGAGCTCTAGGTGAACATCTCGCTGATGCTGGGTTTCACCAGTCAAGTCCAAGACGACAATACCCGTACCAAACATACTCGAATGGAACGACGATAGCTCGAATCCCATTGGTATCGAATACATATTCATGGATCACGTCCCCGGAGTCCAGTTGCACAGCTGCTGGGACAAAATGTCGGCGTTTGACCACCTACAGATCGTCAAGTCTGTTTCGAACATGATAGGACAGATGACAGCACTCGAATTTCCTGCTTTTGGAAGCATATATTTCCAGGACGCACCAATCGACCCAGCTTTGAAGATTAAATTTGACAATGGGTTTTGTATAGGCCCGCATTGTGGTTCAGAGTTCTGGAACTGTGGTGTAGGCGAGACTACTCTCTATGAAAATAGTGGCTACGACCATGGGCCGTGTGAGTTGAGAGTCCATCACGATCCTTGGTCACAACTTGGAAGCTGATGCCCATTCAGGGAAGAACCTGCACGACTACTCTGACGGACTCATAGCCTCGGCCCGGTCTCGCATACCAGAAGATGGTTCAGTGACGACCATGCCCTTATACTGGGGCCCGGCTGAAGAACATCGTGAATTACTGACCACTAATGAAGCAATCCTCTCCGAACTAATCAAGAGTCCACTCTTGCGAGATATTTCCAAGCCTACTTTGCTGCATGTGGATCTTCACAAGAGGAACATTTTTGTATCGGATACTGAGCCCACAAATATCACTGCACTCATTGACTGGCAAGCGACTAGTGTGGAGCCTGCATTCATGTACRCAAACGATACACCCGATTTTGCGACCCGGCCATTCGAGGATAGAGGCTCGGACAACAGTGCAAACCACAGCCCACCGTCCCAAGAAAGCAAGCACGCACAAGCAAAAGCAAAGCAGGATATCCTGCTCTGCAGTGACGCTTTTGAAGTATGCATGGAAGGGTTTGCGCCAGTCATCGGAGCGGCTCGCAGTGCAGATGAACTACTTTTGCGCCCTTTTCGCCATTGCAACACTTCCTGGAGGGATAGCGTGACTGCTGTGCGGCAGGAACTGATTGAGCTTTCGCGACGATGGGACGATCTTGGTCTAGCTGGCGCATGTCCCTATGTGCCAACGAAAGAAGAGTTGTATAGGCACCAACGACAGTACGGAGATTTTGAAATTGCTCAAAGTTTGAAGATGGGTCTCGTGCAGAGTCTCTATACTGATTCTGATGGTTGGGTGTCAGTATCTGATTGGGATATTGTCAAACCTGCTCACGACGCCATGTATCGAGAGTGGTTGGAAACGGCGAGGGAGAATGAAAGTATGAGCGAGGCAAAGGCGAGAGATCTGTGGCCATTTGATCAGGAGTGAAAATTTTGAGGTCTTCACTTCGTTCAAGAGAGCCAAGATACCGACTGGGAGGCTGTCGATCTTGGAGATGAAGTATTGGGTTGAAGCTACACAAGTTCATATGCAGCATGTCCTGCATATGTAGTTGACAGCTACTCACCGCACCGACCCACAATGATAACTGCCCCGATTGTCGTGCGTCGGGTTGCGCACGTTTGCGTGAAGAGAGGCAGGGTTGCAAACCAAGAGATCAGCGGTGGTAAGCTGTTACAGCAGACGAAAGATCATCAGACACGTTATCAAGTGAGGCAGGGCGAAGCGCCGAAATCCTTTCAGAGATATGTTGCATTTAGGCGCCGGCGAACTGCCAAATTCAGCACGAAGTTGTCTGAGCCTGTGAAATCAGAGGCGTTTCACAAAACGACTATAGCATTGAGTATGCATGCTGAGTATCACGGAACTATGCCTGATGAATGGATCAGCACGATAGTCGATGATGAAAAAGGCAACTAGGAGATAGTGAGCGCAGTCAGCATCCCATGGATGCTACATCTTTGCCAACGTTCTCTTCTCAGCATCTCGAAGCAGCGCCACAGCAGCGCGATTCTCATGAAACTCGGCCCCCTTAAGCGCCGTGTCTCAACGCGAGTCACGAATAGAGATATCAGTGCCTCTTTCGATTAGTATTCGAACAACGCTCGGATGTCCCATCCTTGCTGCCTCGTGGAGGGCGGTCCCCAAGCCAACGATCTTCGCTAATTCATAGGAGAAAACATCATCTTTGTACAATATCTTGTTAAGGTCGGGCTGGCAGCGTTCAATAACAAACTGTACGACCTCTATAGCGTCGTCTGATGCCCTGCGTGCCGCCCAGTGGAGCAGCTGTCCTCGAAACGAAGTTTCTAGAGGGCAGTGTGCGAAGAGCTTTTTAATAATTGGCAATGGAGCATATCCTGCAGCAGTTGAAAGAGGTGTGATATCCAGCTCACATCTTGCATTCGGATCGGCGCCATTATCGAGGAACCATGTGATTAAAGATTCGTCGGGGTCTGTAGCGATCGCATATCTATACGCTAGGTCAACAACCATCGTAACATATCCATGTCAGGCAACTCACGACAGAGGGGGAGGGAGGCACCAGTCCTCTTCCTCGTTGATATTCCACCCATGCTGTAGGAAGAGCGAAAGTATCGACAAAGCCTTTTGTTTTATAGCCCATCTGCGATTAATAAAGTGGACTCGCACACCTGCGCTTAACAGCAGCTGCACTATTTCTTGGCTTTTAGCAAGAATAGCTGCTAGCAGGCAGAATTGAAGGTCTCCGGCATCGGTGCCCGTTTGAAGCAGTCGGGGTGACAGCAGCCGTTGCTGCGGATACATTTCCGGCGCGACAAAGTGCTTCCGCATGCGCAACTTCGGTGTTCTCGGGATGAAGCTGTCGGTCAAGTAGAAWTTCTGCATCGTCGCTGACTGGAACGGGTTCGACGGGCTCAAATTGAGGCAGATCGTCGTCCATGGTGGGCGAGACAGGTTCGTTAGATGGACGGGCCAAAAGATGAATGGAAGCGCCAGCTTTAGATCCTTTACAGTGACTGAAACACATGTGGGATATTGTAAGGTACCGCAAATAACGTAAGGCTAGCCAAATCAACGACTGCTTTACCGAGTTTAAAGTCTTGTCGCCGAATTTGGACATAAAGGGGTAAAAAGTCGACCCTTTTTCTTCGATTACTACCTATAGCAAAACAATAGAGGGAGGAAGTTACATCCAGCGATGGTTAGCGAGTACCGATCTAGTAACTCAACAGGCCACAGTCGTGAACTGTCTGATGCAACGCAGGTATTCTAGGAACTTCATGTGGCCTATTAAGTGGACTTTGGATCGTCTTCGCGTGTGACCTTGATCACATTGTTTTTTCTCATCATGTTCATAGTAAAGCTAGAGGTCGGACTGTTTGCTCTCATATAAGTTTGTCGCTTCTCAAATGAGCTAAAGTCTAGAGAATGTACTTACCTCCAGAAAAATTGGTCAAACGGGCTATCGCCTTAAACTAAGGCCTAAGATCACCTATCCGCTCCTTTAATCGATTCTCACCTGACCCTTATCTATGTACGTCCGGAACTCTAGACCCCGGACAGCACCTCCTAAACTGTTCTCTAATGACTAAAGTTCTGGACCTTTCTAACCGGACTAGGGGGACATCCTTCGGCTACCTATAGGTAAAATGATGCTGCCTCGAAACTCCAGCAGACTTGGATATTATTCTAGGGACTTTGGGAAACCTCGAAAATCTCTGCTACGACGTTTGAATACTAAGCGATTAACACTAACGCAGGAGGTTAGAACCAAGCTTCTTAACWAGATCAGTAAGGCTCGACATTCTGATGTGTATTATGTTCGTATGCTAAAAGTCCTAGTCATTACTTCGAGTATCAGCCGATATTTGACGATATGATACGACGGGCCCATGAGAGATATATTCGATGTCGCTGAATGCCGGTTTGTATCCGCCATTACGCGGTTGATGGAAGATACTATATACACTTTGTCGCAGTTTTAACGACTACTAGTTACAAGCTGATCATCGTAGGGATAGTCAACATAATCGTCAATTCATTATCCACACGTGATCAGTTGTAAGTTCCCGACTTGCAGTCAAGGCCCGTATAGCCCTAGAGACACAACACAACGTTAGCAATCTCTTCAATCTCCGCGGGATTCTTCTTCATGGAGATGCTTACCGGGAACTTGTCGAATTGAGTGTCATCAATCCGCTCAAGCTTGGGGCAGTTGAAGGTGCTAAGGGCAGAAGTAAGGGGCTTCAGGGCATCAACGACACTGTTGAGCACTCCGCTGCACTTGATCGCGTCGGGAGCCGCCTGCATCATGAATTGCGTAGCAAAGCAGAAGGCGTTGTTGCCTTTGCCGAGCGTGGCTGTGTTGAAGACACCACCAGAAATATCGCGGGCGTCCACGCCGGTGAAGGTGTTGACCTTTCCGGTGTTGCCGCCGACGTTGAAGAACTTGGGATACTTCAAGCCTGCGGAAACGGTGTCCGCGTTGAGGGTAAGGATGCTGTACTCATCGCCGACAGCGCGCTTGTACCTGATTACTCCGTCAGCATGGTTATCWGCTTGCCACCGTAGCATGGCAAAACACACCAGTTCTCGGGAATACGCTCATGTCCAAATCCTCCTATCTTCCGTAGATGACCGTTGACTTCCTTGACGCCAAAGAAGGAGTTCATAATCTCAGTGTTCAAGACACCTTGTGGATGTTCCTCTGACTTGTTGCTCATGAAGCGGTAGATGAACTGGTAGGCGGCTGGCTGGACTAGGACTCCCGTGAAGGGACCGTTGAAGAAGTAAGGCTGAGACGTAGCTCATTAGTTCAAGTCGTGAAAATCCACCTCTCGTCGGAGCACGTACGTTGTTGGCGATAGATTGGTCGAAGCGCTTCGAACGGAACTCTGCCAGCAAAGGCAAATCGATGTTGTCATTGTTTGCCTTGCCCATGTCGTAAAGCTCCTGATACTGGCTCATTTGGAGCTGGAAGGCGTTACCGTACTGGTAAAGATCACCTCGTCCAGGTGAAGCGTCGGCCTCGTAGACGTTGTGGGACCCCGAGATTCCTTGTGGATTGCCGAGGATGGGCAGGAGAGGGGGAGCATCCTTTGTAGGGCCGCCAATGCTCCAGACAAGTCCGTTGCCTTCGAAGGTTGATCCCAGAGTCTATCAAAGTGTCAGCAAGACGGTCATACCAAGGTATGTATGGAGGGTCTACCGTCAAGAAGCCGCTCAAGTCGGCAGCCATGCCGAACACCTTGAATGTGCCGTCAATAAATTGAGCGTCACTTGCGACGCCATTGTGGGGAAGATATCCATGGTTGGCTGTTGTTTTCAGATATCAACACGAGGAACGTTATTTGTTACAGCAAACCACATACCCATCGCGTTCAGTCCAGGACAAGGACCACGTTGATCGTCACCCGTTGGAGCAACAAAAGCATGCTCGYCAGATGTCGAGACGTATTGCTCAGCGGCGTCGAATCGTGTCGAGGCATCTGGGAACTCTTGACGCTCTAACAAGTTCGAGTTTGAACGAGCTTGAAGTTCCTCCAGAATACCAGGGAAGGCGTTGGTCACGGAGACCATCGCCAAGGTTGCGAGAGAGGAGTACGACTTCATGATTGCGGTGTGTCGAGGGGCCAAAACGGGGGAACATTTTGGCGGCTGCCGTCATATATAGTAGATTGCCCCTAGTGTGAGCATGCAGCCGCATCATTCACAGCATCCACTGCGCTGCGATTCCGAGGTATACAGTCTTCGGTTGAAAGGGCCGCAGTGATCTGACAGAAGTATACGAGCGATCAGATTAGTTTGTGGGGACGCCGTAGATCACTACTTCCTTTAGCACGGCGAAAGTGCATGTACGATCGCACATATCGCATTACGCCATAACGCCTTGGAATATGGACCACTCTCCGAAAAGAACAGCTCAGTATGCAGATGCGGAACCGCAGTCCCCAATCAAATTGAACGCATTAATTTGTGTGTGTCCAGTTTTGGGTCTGGCACATGCCTTGATCTGGGACTTACATCAGTGCGTTGATCGACAACGAAGATCGTCCGCACTTGTGGATCGCAGGGACGTATTCGTTCATTAGGCACGCTGTAAGTACGCAAGTATAGCGTGATCATCTGAGGTAGCACTCTCCTACAGCTTTCACGGCAATATCTCATAGGTGTGGCGGGAGATTCGGCATCGTAGTGTGATGTATCGATTCGCGCCTTTACGCCGTGTCTTGTTGTGCACGACCGGAAAAGGGATGCTGCTCAGGGGACAACCCAAATGCTAGTGGATTTTCCAAGCAAACCCAATAGCAACTAACAGCCAGAATAATCTTTGAGGTCAACGAGTCTCGAGGTTAACACATAAGGAGCCTTTAACAAAGCGTAATGGTAGAGGTCGTTGCCGGAGAAACAGGAATCTCAGGGCAGCCCTTCCGTCGCACGCACGCGCATGGTCGGCGGCAGGAAAAGCAAGTGTGGGCCGCTAAAAGGATGAAATTGGGTTTGATGGCATAAAAGCAAGACCCGAATGTAGCCCTAGTACTACGCCTTCCAAGGCCCTATTTCCACCCCCACCACTATTCTAAGAAGCTCGATCTCCCCATCATCACAACCGCATTTAGAGCGAGGATAAGTAGAAGGCGGCGGAATAGGATCAAGTAGCTCACCGATAGAAAAGCCCATAACGATCGTGAGCAGACAATCACGAGTGCGCCTTCTAGAGTCGATCAACCATTGAGTACTGTCTATCACTCTCCTCCGTGATATTCTCAACGATATGCCGAATGCCTAGCCAACTTCGCTTCCTTGACGACCCGTCTTGTAGAATCTCTCCTTCAACGAGCCCACCGCAAACTCGCCCAATCTCTTCATGTTACCACAGTCTAAGATCTGTAGAACCGTGACTTCAGCCCCCAACTTCTGCCTCCACCAAGTCCGGATTTCAATAGCAACCAATGAATCCACTCCCAAATTTGATAGCGATAGATCCGACGAGGTGGTGTTCAACAGCTTTTCTTGTTCTTCTTCGCCAATTACAAGGAATAAGCAGATCCTCAACAGTAGTTCCCGAGACAATGTTGTGCAGGCTGTCTCTGTTGCCAGGATGGACGGATCGCGCGAACAGGAAGTGAGGAATTCCGAAAGAGGGTTGGATGATGGAGATGAAGAACTTGTGCCGTTTACATCTTCTTCCAGGCTTCGATAGACCAGAAACCGGGCATCATTAGCCCACGGTAGATTGCTATTGGCATCGGTCGAGGAGACGGTAGGTTTCAGGCCAGACACAATCTGACCGCCCAAATCGCCTGGATGTGATTGTGCGATTGCCAATTCCAGCGCCTCGAAGAAATCCTTTTCGGGTAAGAATTCAAGCGTACTCCTCAGTCGTCGCGCGAGCTCGGGGTTTTCTGATGTCATTCCAATATCCTCTACTGGTCCTATGTCCAGCACAGAAGCTGCGAGTCCTTGCGAGTGCCGATATTGGACAAAGTCATCTTGATAGGCATTGCCCGCTGCATAGTTGGCTTGTCCGTACCAGCCATGAAGTCCGACATGGGAGGAGAACATGACAAAGAAGTCAAGAGGAGACTGCAATAGGCAGTGGTGGATGTTGAGTGTGCCCTTGACTTTGGGGGAGATTCCGGATTGCCAGTCGGCATGGGTCATGTGGGAGATGTTCTTGTCCTGATTATACTGGTTAGACGAAGATCAAATAATAGTTCAGTCGGGAAGATGTACCTTCAAAGCCGCAGCCATTTGCAAAACGCCTCGTATCGGTCTGCTACTTTCGCGAACTGCCTTTTCAACATCGGCGGCATTCGTTGCACTTCCGTGGAAGACCTGATACGTGCAACCCATTGCAGATAATTCTTGCAAGACATCCAACTTTGCTGAAGACAGCTCTGATCGTGAGAGGTATACCAAATGTCTGGCCCCTCGCTCGGCCATCCAGACAGAGACGGCACGACCGAGCCCTCCAAGGCCACCAACGAGTAGGTAGGCAACATCGGGATCAAATTTTGTCTTTTGTCTCACGGAGTCCGAGATTTTGAGGTCGTGAACGGAATTCGGCATATGCACCACGACTTTACCAATATGTTCACCCCTCTGGAAGAATCGAAAGCAATCTTCTATATCGTCTGCTTCGAATGCTGTCAATGGGGCGACCGGGGAGATCTTTTTCCCGTGGAGGAGGTCAGATACTTCTTGCATCAAGCTAAGTTCCTGTTAGCATTTGCCAAAGCTGGACTGTAGGCGTAACCTTTTTTGTACCTCTGATTCAGCTCTGGCCTGTGGTCTAAGATTTGCGCATAGTCAACGGCATGATATCCACGATTGTTACTGAATCTGCTCATGTCCAGGTTTCCGTGCTCCTGGATATCTCGTCTGCCTAGTTCAACCATCATTCCAAAGTCTGCAACGCACTCCCATGAGGCATGCAAAAGCTCTCCGGAGAGAGAGTTGAATACGACATCAACACCGCGGTTGTTGGTGCGTGCCATCAGATCTCGGTGGAAGGTCCTGTCGCGGGAACTGAATATGTTATCAGCGGGAATGTTCCATGCATCTTGGAGATGCTTCCGTTTCCTGTTACTGCCGACTGTCGCGTAGATCTCGGCTCCAACAGAGCGACATAGCTGTATAGCGGAGAGGCCAATTCCACCACATGCTGAATGGATAAGGACAGAAGACTTGGCGGAGATTCTGGCGATATGCATCAGAGAAAGGAGCGAGGTGCAGTAAACGCCGTACACGGTAGCTGCGTCGTCGAAAGACACTCCGTCCGGAATGCTAATACAGTTCAATCTTGGCACAGTGATGCGAGTTTTGAAGCAGCCATTATAGGCAATCGCCACACGGTCGCCGAGTCGTAGATCGTGCACAGCATCTCCAACTCGGATAATGGTGCCTGAGGCCTCGATACCGAGWGTGGAACTCGATACCACGCCCATTGCGACAAGTACATCCTGCATTGATCAGTCGCAAGCTGCTGGAAGGGTATGTCGCATCACCTACCTTGAAGTTCATGCCGACAGCCGCAATCTCGACCTCTACCATATTATCGCTCAACTCTTCCTCAGGCGAATCTGAGATCCACGCCAAGCTCYGCAACAACCCCTTTCTGCCGACATTGAGTCTTGCCCCGGTCGTGGAGGGCGCTGGCCGGGAGAGGGCAGATGGAATCGAGTACCAATGGAAACGTCCAACTTGGATAATGCCGTCCATGTAAACATACTCAAAATCTATAGCGTCTGATCTTACGACCCCGTGCCTGTACTTCTTGAGAAACAAGGGCAAGATGTCCAAGAATGAATCGTTCGTAGCATCGACCTTCAATGTCGCAAAGTCCAGTCCAAGTTCGAACCTGACATTCCTAGCCAAACCATGAACCAGAGAATATCGAGGATCGGTAGATCGAGTCAGCCAGATCAACTGTTGCTGTGGCGTCAATGCTGATAGAAATGTGGTCAGCTGCCGGAAAGCTTGCGGGTTGATGTCGTAAAGAAAGGGGTCATCGATTTCAAGAAGTGAAACGACGATGGATGCCACGGGTGGGACGTCGTCCAGTGTGCAAAGTTCCACCAGAATGCCATTCTCTGACAAGATTCTCACGATTTTGGTCACCGTGGACGAAATCTTCAGAGGAACAAGTAGTGTTACTTGTTTTAAATTGAGATTTTCCATGGCATCGGGTTGCGCGACTACCAGATTGCGCCCCGCAGAACTTCCGGAGACTAATTGTCTGCTGAGGCCAGCTTGTTGCCAGGCATCGGTCCAGCGTTCAGGGGTTTTACAAGACTTGATCGTCGTGCAATCTGATTCGAATACCCCCAACTCGGATTCCTCTGTCTCGACGGGGGAATCGACTTGCATTGCCGCGAGACATTCATCTAACAGCAGATAGCCGCACGGCTTTAAAAGCTGCCGAAGACGCTTCAACTTTGGAGATGACTCAATCAGATTGTGTGCAATGATGAGGTCGTAGGAGCCTGGAAGTAAGTCTTGCTCTGGGGCATGTTGTGGTGCGTCGAACATGACAAATTTCACCCCAGGAGAGCGATCGAATTTCGCTCTAGCTGCTGCCAGAATCATGTCTTCCGTGCTTGCCAGTGTATAGGAAGCAAACATGCGTTCTCCAGAGTCGGAGTATGAGTTTCCGATGAAGCTTCCGGTAATTGAGCTTTCCCCTCCCAGAATCTCAAGGATGTTGCATCGAGGAAATTCGTGCGTGAACAGTCGGAGAAAGGACCTGTAGCTCGATGTTTGAGTATCGCTATCGGCTCTCAACAACACAGTCGGGTCCAAGAATCGAAGAAGTGGTAAGTAATGAATCCGAGCGCCAGATTGTGATTCCGTGCTGGGGTCGACCTGCAGGTCCTCCAACTTGGACATCTGAATACCATGACCACTCAGAACAATCTGGCCATCCGACCACCCAGTCATCGATCCACTCATACCCCCAGAAGGATCAGCATCGGCTCGAATTGACAAAGTGGATGCCGTTGGCTTGAGAGAAAGCTTCTCGATGTATGTTGGTATGTGTGTTCCTGAAATCGCACGGGGATGTCCTCTAGCATCAGCGACGCTCAGAAGCTGCAACGCTTCATCGAGCAGAGTCGGATGGATAGAATAGGATGRCTCAGATAGACATCTGTCCATCGATACCACGGCGCAAGCAGAGGCTTCATCTACTGAGCAGGTGATGTCCGTAAGGCCGGCGAACGCCAGTCCATAGTCGAGTCCACATCTTCTGAGAGCGTCATACCACTGCCGAGATTTGACGTGTCGTGGAAAACTGACAAAGTCCTTGGAACTCGCGAGCTCTTCCTCGGTTGGCTTGACGTGACCACGGCAGTGCGTCACCCAGGTATCGTGGGCTAGAGATGAGATTGTGAAATCGTAACCTCTCGAAAGTTGCGTCTCAGTCCAACGATGTGGTCTGAGGCTAGTGACTATTTCAGTTGCTCGACCGTCGTGCAGAATCATTGCAGCCAAGATTGATACACGCAAGACTGTACATTCTTTGGAATTGGTTACCTGTCGGATTGCCTCGGATACCATTGCAATGTATGCAGCCGCAGGAAAGATGATATCCGGGCCAATCTGATGATCGCAGATCCACGGCACGTCTGTAGGCCGCAAGACGTTCCGCCATGCTGGCTCGAGATCATTGTTCTCTAGGATAGGCGTTCCAAGAAGATTGTGGCGGCTGTGTCTTCGGAATCTCCACGCCTTCGAGATACGACTTTCTTTCGAGATGAGCTCGCGGTGAAATGGATACGATGGCAGATCATGTAATACTTTTCCGGCTGGCGACAAAGCGTGCAGATCGATCTTAACGCCCGCACAATGCAGCATTCCCAATGTTGTAAGCAAAGATACATATGCATTCTGGCCTCGGACCAAGGTTGGGATGTACAAGGGTTGTGGCTTTTGCGAGGAACTCTGGAAACATTGACGCAGAGGTCCCTTTAGAGCCGAATGCGGCCCGATTTCGAGGAAGATGAGTTGATTTTTGGTCTTCTTGAGGATGCCATGAATCGCAGTATTGAAAAGAACCGGGGATTCTAGGTTCGTCTTCCAGTAATCCGTATCGAGAATTTCGTTCGTGTCCAGCCAGCGTCCGTAGGCTGTGGAGAAGTACGGAACACCCGGACGACAGAAAGAAAGTCCCTCTAGTGCCTTTGAATACACACTGGAAACTTCCCTCATATGGTCTACATAAAGTCAGTCCTCGTCGCAGTTCTTTCAGATCCGCGCTCGACTTACAAGAATGATATGCCATATCCACATCCAGAACGCGCACAAAAGTTGCCGGGCTTAACCTCTTCAATTCCAGGACAACTTGCTGCAAGACCTCCGCGTCTCCAGAAAGAGTGACGTTGGAAGGACTGTTCTCACATCCAATAGTTACGCCGGGCCGGAGGAAGGACTGAACGTCAGTCTTTCCCATTCCTACTGCTACCATCCCTCCCTTTCGTGAACTTGCTGGGAGGCTTTGGCCACGATGATAGGATAACGCCATCGCGTCGTGCATTGAGACTATTCCAGCTGCGTATGCTGCGGCGATTTCACCGCTGGAGTGTCCGACGATGACATTCGGCTGAACGCCCAATGCACGTAGTCGATTGACCAGTGCTATCTGAATCGCTGTACAAAGAGGCTGGGCCATGACACCTCCCAGTTCAAGGTCTTTGCGAGGATGCATTATCAGATCTATATTCATGGTCAACRACACGTAGTCTTTGACTCAGCAATTACTATGTGGCTTACCTTTGATGGACCAGGAGGGAGGATGTGCAAGGCTGGACAAGGCGTTGTCTAGCTGTTGCAAATCTTCAGCGAATTCACAAGAGAGTGTCGCAAGCTCCTTGGCCATCCCAAAATACTGTGCGCCCTGTCCGGTGAAGACGAACACAATTTCCGGGTCTTCGCAAGCCGCCATGGGCTTCGAAACAGGCAATAACTGCGTATCGTGTAGTATAGAGAAGCATCGATGTTGGCGATGTTCTCTCCTCGTGTTGAGAGTGAACAGCAGGTTCTCAGCATTGGATCTGTGCTTCTGAAGGTATGTTGAGCAGCCACGAAACACGTTTTCGAGGGAGCTTGGGTGGTCTGCTGAGAGCACAAGAAGTTGAGGAGTATCAATCGCAGCGGGCGCGGATATTCTCTCTCTGATGCCCATCGATTGTGCCGAGTCTATGATGACATGTGCATTCGAGCCGCCGAGACCGAAAGAGTTGATACTGACTCTCTCTTTCTTGTCCTTTGGCCAAGGTAAAGGATCCGTCGGTACCATTAATTTAGCTTCATGGAATGGTATCTTCGGACTTGGAGTTCGAAACTTGATGTTTGGCGGTACTGTCAGATTCTCCAGAGCAAGAACGCCTTTGATAACACTGATTATTCCAGAGGCGCCTTCGGAGTGCCCGATGTTTGGCTTGATTGATCCAATGTATGTACCACTCGTCCCAAAGACTTTGGCAACAGCACCAGCTTCAATCGGATCTCCCACCAGGGTTCCTGTCCCATGGAGTTCCACAAATCCAGTTTCTGCAGGTGAAAGACCAGCTTTATGATATGCCGTCCTGATGAGTGCCTCGTGGGCGTCTGGGTTTGGATTTGAGAACGAGGAGCCCCTTCCATCCGAATTTGAAGCTGTGGCCCTTATCACTGCGCGGATAGGATCATTGCAGGCGATTGCGTCGCTAAGCTTTTTGATATATAGAGCTGCCACGCCTTCAGCACGAGCATAACCATTTGCGTTTGCATCGAACGTCTTGCAAGATGCATCAGGAGAGAGCGCGCCGACCTCACCAAGTCCGGATGTGTTGGTAGGTGAGATGATGATATTGGCACTGGCGACAACGGCGGAAGAGCAATCGTTTTGATAGAGAGCCTGGCAAGCAGAGTGTAGCGCAATCAACGATGCGGAACACGCTGTACGAGTTGTGACGCTTGCGAGATGTCAACATATAGCTACCAGTGGAGAGATTGCATGTTGCGAGACTCACCTCGGTCCACGAAAGTCGTAGACATACGATATGCGATTGCTGGCAGCAAAGTCGGAAGATCCTGTCATTCTATGCGCACCAAAATCTTGTGTATCTTTTCTTCGCAAGTCTTGCCAATCTTCACCAAAGGTACCGACGAAGCATCCAACATCTCTGCCCGACTGTCCAGTTTCGCCGGCACTCTCTAGGCATTCGCGCACTATCTCAAGTAGCTGCCTCTGGACCGGATCAAGGACTTCAATCTCTGGTATGGATAATGGAAATGCAGCAGCATCGAATAGTTCAAGATCCTGGTCCAGAAAGTATCCAGCGTTTACTGGACAACTCCCAGGCTTGCTAACGGGGTCGAAGAAAGCGTCGCCATGGTAGCGATTCTGAGGTATAGGTCCTCGTGCGTCTCTCTTCTGGATCAAGAACTCCCACAGTTCTTGTGGGTTGTTGATGCCACCAGGAAGTCTTACTGCCATACCAACGATTGCAATAGGCTCCATCTGCTCGTTGCTGTCCTTGGAAACGTGCTTGGCGGTATCCTGATGGCAATTCCTCAATGGCTCTGAAGACATTGTGGCAAGAAAGGGAAGATGCAAACCAGAGTTGAAAGCGTGTAGCTGTAACAGGTTAAGAAAATCAAATGCAGTTCTTCGACTTGTGTTGAATACCGTCGAGCGAACAACATGAGCCGGCTTAGGAAATAGCCATTGCGCCATAAGCGAGAGCTAGCGCTGACAACATGCTTCTTACCACGTGTGACACATGTACCGAGGAGGATCTGTTGGTGTTTTAGCGTAGAATTGCAACAACATGCAACATCACACTCGGGGCTGAAGGGTACGCTGTGTTGGGTGGCTGAACTCGGTCAATCAAGAGAGCATCTGTTGCCAAGGTTCCAAGGCTCCAAAAATAATCGTTTGCCAGTGAGGTACAACAATAGAAGAATGAGATTAGAATAGTCGAAGGAGACAATCTAAAACCGCTTTTACGCCAAGTTCTCAACAAACACTCACCTCCACAGCAAAGCAGAACGATGTCTTCCCACGCAATGGCCGGATTGGCCACGGAATTTCTGATAATCTCGATTCTTGGCATCGGTGCTCTCCAGGCCTCCTCGCCGTCCTTGCGTGTATTGCTCCTGGGAGCGATCTGGTATACCGGCATCGAGGCATTGAGAGGCCTCCTGTTCAACATAGGCGAAGCTTCGCCCCTCGCTAGTCTGGTCGGCCTCTTCATAATCATCTGGCTTTTGCACTTGACGGAGCTACTATTGGTAGAGAACCATATCGTTTCGGGGAACGGGCCACTATCAAGATTGCATGCAGCGTATAAGATGCTTTTCAACGTCAGAAGAACAGCACTTATCGCAGACCCCCAGCAAGTTCCTCGACAGAAAGAGCACAGCGGTGGTGAGAGCCAGCGCCCACAATTCCGGAACAAGCACCTCATAAAGGCCAGTCTGTTGGCAGGCCTCTTCTGGACCTACAKCAATGCCCTTATGGCGATCACGGTACCTGTCCTCTCGGTGGCCATACAGGCATGGCAGTCAGATCTCAGTTTCTTCAGCTATACCCTCCAACAATTGCTAAGCGATTTTATCGCGCGTCTCATCCTGGTTACCGATTTTGTCCTAGGCACCTACATGCTAGACAGTATCTTCCACTCACTCTTCGCACTGCTCTTCGTCAGCGTCCTCGGCTTGGACAGCCCGGAGGAATGGCCAGATCTTTGGGGATCCATCGTGGATACGACTTCTGTTCGAGACTTTTGGGCCAAATTCTGGCACAAGCTTGTGCAGCGTACACTTGTTGGTCTCTCGTCCTCTCTTCTCCGTGCATTTGGCGTTGGATCACGCGGGACTGCGGGCAGGACGCTCATTCCGTTTCTAGTATTCCTGCTTTCCGGCGTCGTGCATGGCTTGACCACCTGGAGCTTGGGATTCMAATGCGGCTGGTGGGCCGACATAGCTTGGTTCTGTGCTCAATTTGGCGTCATCATCTTGGAGGATGCTGTGGTGTCCCTAGCAAGAAGGAATCTAAGCCCGAAGCTGACGCCCAAAGTTCGTGCCGCGATCGGATCCACGTGGACATGGGGATTTCTGCTGTACTCGGTTCCAAAATGGCAGATGGCAAAGACGCAATGTTGAGAATTGCGCTTGAAGTGTACACAACATCTCGCTTACTTGGCCAATTATGCATATCGGAGGCAACTAGCGTCTAGGCGGCTAATTGGAGATGCTGCAAGAAGGCTTTGAGGATTCTGTGCGGTAGTTTTTATCACGGTTTTTTTGTACCTTGGACTATTTATAGGAGTATGACAAGAAGTACCTCTACATATGCCAGAATACCAGCGAGCCGAAATCCTGACATGCAACGATTTGGCGAGGAACGAGCGACAGAGCAACAAGGACAACGGAGTATGTACCATACCCGAGCGCGTAAAGCATCTCGTTTATTGGGGGACCTTAGGATCACTCCGTGCTTGTTATCCGCGTTGCGGGCTTCGATGTTTTATTTAAACTCATTGGTTAGGAAGCTCGGCATGGCGGTCCAGAAGAGTCCTTTCCAATCAAGCTTCGCCAATGTTTGAAAAGAGGGGAAGAGGGGAGTTATGTCTTGAGCCTCGCGACAGCCGACATTTCAAGAATCCAACTCCTTCTCCAAACTTCAGAGTTAGGGCATCTGACTGTCATCTTCACATGCCACGCTTAAAAGGCACGAAAAGGGATAGTAAACCTTGGCAGGAGCTTGGCAGTGTTCACAGTCCAGGAATACACATCTTTCACCAACAACAATTCACGAATTTTAATAGCACAGAGAGCTTCGTACTACATGCATGCCAGCTTACGATGTTAAAGTCATGCGTTAACGCAAGTGTGTGCGTGTGTCTCTGACCTTGATCATCGCCTTCTCTCTTTCTCCAACAGTACATCGTGCTCCACATGACAATCCATCATGCGGAAATCAATACCCATGCTCCTGCGAGAGCTCTTGTCCGTAGCTCAGGCGCTCATCATGGTGCTCCTATGTTGGAAAGTCCTTTGTTTCCTAACGGCCTGTTCGACACCGCTGATGGTCGTTGCCTCAGGTAGGGGCTTTCGACAATTCACTCGTCGTCTTCCAACTTATCTCCTCTCAGGCTCCATGGAACCCGCGTTTCAACGCGGAGACATACTAGTCCTTTGGAACCGGACCGAAATTGTAGCTGCGGGCGACATACCAGTCCTGTGGTTCAAAGATCAACCTCTTCCAATGGTCCATCGGGTAATTAGGACAAGCTGGGACATCAATGAGTACGGAGGTTCGATCAAATTAGATTGTCCAACGGAAGCTCACTCGTAACTGCAGATCAGGCGGTACCATCGAGCAACATTTCACAACCAAGGGCGATAATAACGAACTAGACGACATCTCTTTGTATCCAGATGGTAGACTCACTGCAAAACGAGGGGAAATCATTGGTTTCGTGCGAGGCTATGTGCCATTTCTGGGGTGGCCAGCCCTGTTGATACAAAAGGTGTTGTCTAGTCCAGGCTCCTTGCTCAGATGAGCAAGCAGGGAGAGTCTATGATAGCAGAGCTGATGACAGTCTTTGATTCCGGATATCGTCATCCTGTGTCTGACAGCCTCCAAAGATGCACATTGAGACCTTATCAAAGCGAGCACTCATTTGATGGGAATCCAGCGATCAATGAATGTTTCGCTTCGGTCAGAATCAGAGTAAGTGAGGCACCAGGGGAAGACGTCCGTCGTGGTCATGGCGCAGCAAACAGTCTCTCGCCAAGGACACAGTAACAATAGATTGCCCCTTCAATTAGAGCAGGAGAATTGAGGCACTTGGGGAAGTCCCACATCGTGATCGTGGCGCACAGAGCAATGGATCCCCTCAAAATGCAGTCAGCCACGGATCCTACCATTGATGAGTTGATGAGGGCAGAAAAGCTGTTGGTAAGACGCACGAACTCGCTACCGATGTCGAAGTGATTGGTTTCTATTCATAGCGTGAAATGGGAGAAGCGATAGGTCCAATTGTTCTGAAAGGGGTTTGATCAGTTGTTGGTCAGACGGTGCAACTTTACTCCTCAATTCATGTTGGCGAGACGGTGAGCAGCCTTAGTCGTTGGAGTCGACTTTGTTGGCATGAGCCTCGCAGCTGAGCAGACAATCCAATGTAAGCGATGCGGCAGTGACTTGATGAGTTGTTGCTATTTGCTAAATTGTCCTTGTGTTGGTTTCTTCCATGACTTGGCACGAGGAGCAGAGAGACTATAAAGTCGTCAAGCTCGACAGAGTTTCCAGCATCTCACCAGCATCCCAAATCTGCATCTACAGCAGAGGAACGCTCAAGAAACAGCTCCACCATCTTCTTTTCGATATCTCAAATTCCAACCCCTTTTCGCTCAAGTTCTTGCAAAGCGGCAGATCAACCACGACCACCATGAAGTACCTCACCCATACTGTCGCAGCCATTGCTGCTACGCTCTACATGCAGCCATGCCCAGCACCTCTTCTTGTTCCTGCCGTTGCCGGCGCTGTTTCGGCTGCCGCTGGGGCTGTTCAGGCAGGTGCTGCCGTCGTGGGTGCAGGTGCTGCGATTGCAGCTGTTGCCACCCAAAACAAGAAACGAGGAGAACACGCCCCATGGGACGAGGACGCCGGTATCTCGCCAGCCGTGCTCCAGAAGTGCGTCGCCGACATGTTTAACAGTCGCTCGGTCTCCTCCAACGTGACCCCAGACGGCGGCGTGGTTGTTTACAACTGTCCAGAGAGTTGCAAAGAGGCCGTCGACGAATACAACTCTTTCCCGGATGTCGATTCTCTGGCCGCTCGCTACGGGACGGTATCCTGGAATGACTCCACGATAACCACCACTTACCCCGTTGGTGCTGGCTGCCTCAGCGGATCCTAGGCGCCGTGCAGTCATCTGGAATGGACTGGCCACACCTTGCAGATTCTCACTTCCCGYAAGGCATAAAGGTCGGATCGTTATATTTCCAGAAGACACTGCTACCGACAAAAGGGCACGCAACTGGACATGCTCTTGTGCCGTACTGGCTTTCCTGGGCGTCGCATGCGTTCGAGCACTCGTTCAACAGCACCCTTCAAGTTTTGCGATTCTTGAGGTCACTCTTTTGCGTGCGATGTAGAAGGAGGCATCTGCAATGAAATACAAAAATTGAAAATGAAATTGGAATTGGTTGAAGCCCTTTTGTGTGGACCTCTCAGACCATCTATACTCGTTTCGAGTGTCAATGAAGGACAAGATCGGCTTCAATCCTCGTCTTGGTTAGCATCGCCATTGCTCCTCTTCCAGGTGACGTGGATTGATCCGCGAAGTCTTTTGACGATCGTCCTCGGATACCAACAGGAAGCTGATCGTTCACTTTCGCCATGATGGCTAGCGACTTTCGACTCATATTGGGTTTGATGTCTTTATCTCCTTCTCATGTACTCTCGACTGCTTTTATCACTTGGAGTTTCAATCTCCAACATGCAGCCATTAGAAGTGCACGTGTCCATAAAGTAAAAATGATCGTGTGAGAGCTATGTTCATGTCTTATCGAGTAAGCGGGGCCATAGCGTATTGCAATCAAATGGATCCACAGTACTAGTGGCTCTAGCAAGTAAATCGCGACTCTGTAGAGTGTTTAATCCTTTAAATCCAAAGAGTTTGCAATGGTTCTAGTGAAGAATTGTGTCGTCGTATCGTCGTATCGTCGTCTCGTTGCATTTAAAGAATATTATTGACGACTTTGAGAAAGTCTTAATAGCTTTGGGGAGGTGCCACCATAGTATGTTTCGATTGTGTTTAACGCTCCGCTTCGGCCGAATTAATGGCCCTGGGTACGCAGGATCAAATACAACCTCGCTTCGCTCAAGAAAAACCCACTCCGCGCTGCCTTGATTGGTCAATCGCTAGGCGATGGCTACCGTACCTCAGCTCCTCACCGGTCCATCTCGGAGAGTGAAGCGAACGATGGGCACCATGGAACGTCAAGGCCAATAACAGCGAGGTACCTGGGTCTCAAGCAGGCTATGGATGCATGGTGGCTTCTGACGACGACTTGTAGCCACATCATCTTCGTGGGCAACGCCCGTACTCCAAAAGCTGTTCACTACCTAGGTAACATCATACTCGAGTGACTCCTCCCAAGCCATTCACCTCGCACTACTCACTATCGTCGAAAATATGCAGGCCGAAAAGCGCGAAGCATTGCGGRGACTCACGCAGTACACATATACATCTTTTACTACCACAAACTCCATCCGCCTACTTCACCTGCTTCCTGGCTCTATACATGACGACATCCGAGGCAGTCTGCATATGGTTCCACTCAGCGAAGCTCAAGGCCGATATGAAGCATTGTCATACTGCTGGGGCAGCGGGTATACCAGCATGACTTGCGTAGATGCCGATGGAAGAAGTCTGGGCCATGTAGCAATCACACTAAATCTCGACGAAGCTCTGCGTCACTTGCGGTCCGAAACGGAAACTCGATGCCTCTGGGCGGATGCAATATGTGTCAACCAAGACGACCTCCAAGAGCGAAGTCAGCAAGTCCAGCTAATGCGACAGGTTTATGCAGGCACAAAGCAAGTTCTTCTCTGGCTCGGTGGAGAAGACGAGCACACCCCTTTGGCACTCGCAGGGCTTGCAGAGATTGGTAAATACTGTCAAAACCTTTCCCTATTCTCCCTCCTAGCCATGAACAACATGGGAGAACTTGCGAGCATGCTCAACGTACCGAGACTCCCAGACTTGGGCGATATCATCACTACAGCGATTGAGCAGATCTTTCGTCGGCCGTGGTTCGCCCGAGTCTGGGTTATCCAAGAAGTCTGCGCAGGGCCTGAGGTCGTCGTCCAAATCGGATGCGAGAGCATACCCTGGAACATCATTGGCATTGCTGCTCATTGGTTGAGAGAAGCCCGCTGGTCCAGCACAGCTACCGGAGAAGGCTCTGAACAACTTCGAAATGCGGTAATCCTTTGGCAGAAGCGCTTCAACTCTCAAGCTTCCGCCCCCAATCTGCTGGACGAGGGRAGAGACTACGGAGCGACAGATCCCCGAGACAAAGTGTATGCACTGCTTAGCTTTTCAGCTATGCAGACTCATGCTCAAATCGTACCGGATTATCAAAACAAGACAACGACTGGAGTTTATATAGATGTAGCGCATCACCACATCCGCAGCTCCCGAAAAGTCGTCATGCTTTCATATGCCGAGCTTCCTTCTGTTACTGACGGACTGGAGCGAGAGCAGGTCGAGACATGGCCTGGCTTGCCATCCTGGGTGCCTAATTGGTCCGAGCAGACTTGTTTCCCAACATCTTCGCTTGTCTCGGTACCTGCCTATGTAGGCGATGCAATCCACACTCARCCAGAGGTTGCTTCGTTACAGAACGACGAGTTAATTGTCCAGGGCTGGATCATCGGCCGAGTCACTGTGGCGCCAGCACATCTGAAGTGGGAGGATCGCGATGGCAGATTCTCCATCTCTAACATCGAGGCCTTGGTGGAGTTCTGGGAGCAGATGCAGGTTCAGTCCAACGCCGCCAATCTTTTGGTCCTGAAGAGATCCCTCTCACACGCGGCGACAGCAGGGATCACGGCCGAGTATGAATCAGCAGACACGTGTAGCAATCGGCACGAGAATGACTTTTGTCAGTTCCTGGAGTGGATGCTGCGGGACGGCGCTGGACGTTCCATCTTTCGATCGAGATTGTCCGCTTTGCTCGTTGGAGACCCAAAGAAAGGAAATGCAGGCAGATATTTACAGGCTGCGTATCTCATGGTGCAGTCCCGCCGGCTATTCTGTGGCGATGATGGCATCGCCGGCCTGGGTCATTCGCAGGTGCAGCGCGGTGATTTGGTCGTTCTCCTGATGGGCAGTACGGTGCCTTTCATTTTACGGCAGCGAGGACTTAACCACCAGCTAGTCGGAGAATGCTTTCTTTACGGATGGATGGGTTCCGATGCTGTTATCCGTGCTGAAAGGGAGTCAAAGAAGTCTAGCAGCTTCAGGCTAGTATGATCTCTATAGCAAACGAGCGGTTGATTACTATACTCATGACACCAATAGAATTGTTCCGTGTTGCGTGAAGCTATCATTCCCTCGTCAGTTTGTCGCAAAAGTTTATCTCTCCATCCTTCTAAAATCCCTTCTCTCGTAGCTGCGACTCCGTCCACTCCCAAAGCTTCGCCGCATTGCTCTCGTCACTTGCAGCCCCCGTCAGATTAACTAGCCTCCCCACCGGCTCATAGTACTTGCCACTCTGAGCATCCGGGCTACATGATGCCCACAACTGGGTCAAAGCTCCCCGTGCCACAGGATTGAGGAGCAACTTCGTTCCCACAGACCATACGAAAGCTGGAATCCAGGGATTGGAGGTCTGAAGATCATGCGACACATTGGTAGCCACCGCTCCAGGGTGAATCACCATGCTTTTGATAGTTGGGTACCGTTTGGCGAGCTCCTGGGTAAAGTAGATGTTGGCAATCTTACTGTAAGCATATCGCTGGAACATCCCGGCATCAGACATGGTGGTCAAGGCGGATTCCACMGCTAGTCCGCCGTTTGGTGCCCACTTGTAGGCCCGTGAGCTCACATTGACAATTCGGACATCCTCGGATCCCGGATTCTGAGCAGTTTCCTGGAGAACAGGCAGAAGCAGTTTCGTTAACAAGGCGTGTCCGACGTGATTTGTTCCCAATGTCACCTCAAACCCATCCTTGGTGAGACCTGGCGGAGAGCCTAAGATACCTGCATTGTTCAGGAGGATGTCCAGGCGGGAGGATTCGGCGATGAATTGTTCTGCTGCTTTCTTGACAGATTCGAGATCTGCAAGATCCATTGACAAGAATGTGATGTTGGCATCCGGGACCTGGGCCTTGATGTTGGCTATAGCTTGCTCCGCTTTTTCACGACTCCTAGCTGCCAGAAAGATTCGTGGAGATCCATGTTTAGCAAACTGGAKGCAGCTCTCGGCGCCAAGTCCAGAGTTTCCTATTGCGGGTCGATGAGCAAGAGCGTGAACTAGGGTACCCTAGGTGAAGGACGTACCACCAGTTACTAGAATGGTCTTCCCGGAAAGATCGGGGATGTCATCCACGCTGAAGGTCTTGCTTGATCCGAACATGGCTGTAATCGACACTGTTGGCTGGGACTCGGCGGAGTAGCGGGAGGCGAGGCAACGTACGTTGTTTCTATCTACGAAACCAAAGCTACGTTGTGATCGTGAGATACTGAGTTGCTCYGCAGATCGGTGCTTCTTCAGCGTGATTGATCGCCCCACTCCGTAGCTTGGCGGGGGCATCCTTGTCATTTTCAAGTTGGAGCTTGGAAAACATCTGTTTACCGGAGGTCGCTCACGGCCATCGTCTACCATCATCTATCATCTATTGTCGAAGTCTCAGGTGAGGTGATGGATCATTGGACCGGGACTGGTGCACCTGCAGAGACAGATCCATCTCCAGATTGCTCCTCCGCCCAACAATAACTTCAGGACTTCTTTACAGGCATCGCCACACAATCCTTTCGCGGGATATGATTTGTTAACAGATCACATGTCACATGCGCAGCAGGATGGCACATYCTGAGCATCGCTCAAATACTCACTCATATGCCGTAGGTCCAGGTGAGCACGACGTCCTCCCACGGGTCGCGAAGGCTATTGCCGCTGCAATCGACCTCCTCCTGACTGCTACGGCACTAAGTTCGCACGTGACTCTCACACCCGCGGTTGGATCCCTCCATCAAACCGGTTCGGCACCATCACAACTATGCCCCTCCCAGACTCTCAAGTTGAGCGGAGTCACGAAGCACAACTTTGGATATCTGCTTGACACTATTTTGGAATGAATGGGATGCAGTTTAACCTCTGGAATATTGTGCGCGTCCAATGTTGCGCGACGGTACCAGTTCACGGGGATGCGCTCGTGGCCGCGGGTATAAACAAAGCTTCCCGGCTCGCCAGTCACCGAGAAGAAGGACTTCAAGATGTCGGTGGGCAGCTCACCGCCGGGATTCTCGGCGCTGYGGTTGGACATCAATTCGACGACCAGACCGTGCGCAGCAGGGGCAACGAGACCAGAAAAGGGGGCAGAAAAATAGTATCTGGGTGAGGAAATCAGGAATGGTCACGTGACAAAGGTACCATTCAGCAGCACTCACGGGTTGTTTGCAATCGACCAGCGTGTGTTGTAGTCCTGCTAGCAGTGCGGCAGAGGCGGCGTGACCGAAGTTGTTGTCGTATTTCTTGGCGAAATTATACGCGCTTTCGAATTGCCTCATCTGGAAAATGCCAGGCGAGCCATTGTGGAGGTAGGCGTCTCCCTGAGGATGTATTAGCTTTACGATTAACTCTGGGTGGTATAGGGGCGAACCTACTCGCACGATGGAAGCATCTCCCTCATACTTGTTGTGTGTTCCCAAAATTCCACGGGCAGGGAAAATGGGCAACGAAGGTTTGAAAGGAGGTCCGATGGACCAGGTCTCGGTCAGTGGGTCACCACTAAGGCCGACAGCCACAATTCCGAGGAAAGCTGCGAGATCGGGTGCCATGTTGTAAGCTTGTCCTAGTCCCTCAATTGCTATGCAAGCCTTGGGTCAGTAGTGCAATCGGTGGTCAGAAGACAGGGCAGCCAAACCTTGAGTGATAGTTGTGATACCGTTGCGGTTGAGGAATCCATGGTTCGCTGCAGCGTTCAAGCCAGGGCATTGTCCGCGTACTGTGCAAAATATCAAAATAAGTGGTTGTTTTCTTCAGATGTCAACTCTTTCCAAACTAACCATCACCACCAGATGGCGCAATGAATCGGTGTGGACCGCCGTCTGTAGTGTCTACATATTGGTCGGCCGCGTTGAAGCCGCTCGGTGGCAGTCCAGTGTTTGGACGGGTGATGAGAAACAGGGGATCGCGTGCAGCGGGCTCAGTGCGCTTGAGCAAGACGTCCAAGTTGGCAACGCCAGGGTATGCTGCGACGCAAGAGAGCAAGGTGGTAAGGAGAGCTACAGAAGTCTTGGTCATTGTGAAGGTGTTGGGATCGACGATGAAGAAGAAATCGAAGGCAAGGGAGGATGGGGCGAGTCAACGATTTTATGTCCGTTCTGCTGCATCTGAGGATACGAAGAAATGTCGACGGTTACCCATTGGTCAAGTTCTACACTATGGCCAATTCGTAACTTGCCGGAATGTGGCTTCGTAGTAGCTACCCTATAGGGAAGCCAACAAGAGGTGGCAAAACACCCACGGCACATACGGTCCATATCTCCACTACTGGTAGGGCAGGATGGTCTTGAACTAGAGAGTAGCATGGCGTTGTTACTGGTGATGTGCCCCGCAACGAACGGGCTTGTACTCCGAAAACACAAACCATCACGTAGATGTACAGGGCAAATGCCACACCGCTAGATAAGTTTAAAGGCGCTTCGATTAGTGATCATGCAATGGTCTCAATCGTATTCCATTGACCGACTCATTCACATTTGCCTACAAGAGTCTGTAGCAAGGCGTCTCGAATGAAACATTGTTCATGGAATGTGAGTTTGGAGGTGATATCTAGGCTCCAGGGAGGGTTGTAAATCATGTAGTTGATGTTTGACGGCAAGGGAATGTCACCGACCGGGAATAAACAAGCCATGGCAGAAYACCAAGCTTCCATGATCTACACATCTGAACCAACAAGCTTTACAGATGGTAAGGGTCGGGATGGTGTTGATTCCAATGAGATGCCATCTCTCCACGAGGCTTTTGTGGCGTATGTCACTTTTGCGGGGTTTGCGGGGTGTGAAAAGGCGGGGAGGACCCTTGTGATACTCAGACGACTGCCTTGTACATATTGTACAGGTTCTGATTGGGGTTCTAGCAATGGTAGTGTGCATCTTGCTCTATATTGTTGCCGCATTTGCCGCAATTCAGCCATGCTACTGTAGCGGCTTTATGATTATGCCTTTCGAGCCACCGCGGCCACCAAGCCTGCAGCACACGGGACGAGCGGCGCTTCTTTCATAAAAATCCTTCTTCGCCCTCAACTGTCATGCCTGGTTACCCCTCTAGCTAACACCAAGATGTATATCGCTGCTACCATCGTCTCGTTTGCCACCTTGCTACTAGCAGCTCCGGTCGTTGAACAGCGAGCTGTTGATGAACGATTCACCCTCTACGATCTTCCCACGCCGCTGACTGGGCCTTGCGATTTGGAGCATGGACCTGACGGCGCCCTGTGGGGTCAAGTAAGCTGGAAGCCGTCGCTCGTCTTCCAAGCACGTTCAGCTAACAACGACTGCAACGCAGGGAATTCTTGACAATATATTTTTTCGGATCGATCCTCATACAGGCCACATCGATGAATACCCCATTCCATTTACGACACCTCTCGACGCATCTCCTATTCAACTTCCCGGGATTCTGAAGTCTGTTACAGATCGCACGGCATTGAGCTGTGCTATTCGGACAGGGGCTGATGGCAACATCTACGCTGGAAATGGAATCCGGAATCAGCTCGTGAGAATCAACCCGACTACTAAGAAGATCGACATTTTCGAGGTTACACCTTTTAATCCGGCCGGTAACCTCTTCAATTTTAACGATCTCTACACTGCCAAGGATGGCATGTGGGTAACGGCAACGACAGCCAACACCTACTCGTTCTTCTCCTACGCTACCCAAGAGTTCACTACCTACACTGTGCCTACTCCCCTGGCCCTTCCTCTCGGTCTCTTCGTCGCTTCAGACGGCGTAGTGTATGTTGCAGAGCTTGTTGGAAACAAGATTCTTACGTTTGATCCGAAGACAAAGGCTGTGAACGAGTATCCCCTACCAGAGCTTGCACAGTTTCCAGCTGTAATCCGCGCGGAGCGAGATGGACATGTTTACTTCTCCCTTTTTGTCGGGAACGGAGTTGGCAGAATCAACATGAAGACCCACGAGATCAACCTGTACCACACTAACCAAACTGCCCTTCTTGGTTCGGAGGACACGATTGACAAGTATGGAGGAGTCTGGATCAGCTCCTTTACGACTGATGTTATGTCACGTCTAGACACGAACATTTTTGAGTTCAGCTATGTCGCACTGCCGAATAGCTTTGCACAGACTGGTGCTAATGGAGTGTTTGGAGACATTCCTCCTTATGTTGATATTGCGGTCAACTATGGACCCGGAGATGCAATTTGGTTCACCTCTCTTTTGACGAATCAGGTCGGAAGGTACAACATTACGGGATTGTACGATTGAAGCAGGGATTTTGCATAAGATGCCGTGTGGAGACAGCACAAGGCCATTGCTTGTGACTAGCTAGCTGTTCAATGAGAATGACAGTAAGAAGCTTCGGTTGTACGACATGTTCAATCCTTCAGCGTTCAAGTTTGCTCACAGGGCCAGTCGTCGAAGGAACAGACTTCGAGGGAACGTTATAATGGCAGCATCGAAAGGAACGCCTCACCGCTTCTTGTACTTTCTTTTYGCGTCGCGAGAACATATCGGTGGTACTCATTTTATACTCTCATCGACGCCCCGTATCCTCATTACCATCCTAAGACTCATGCTTGGATAGCTATGACCACAAAGATTGAGACGTCTGATACCCTCGTCACTCACTGTCATCCAATTCTTGATGTTGGCGAGCACCGTCTGCACATCACCGTCGCGCATCTTTCCTTCCTCCAGCCACTCACCTCATTCCCCTGTTCACTTATTCGATGACTTTAATCGATGAACACATTACGCCCAAATGGCGCCATCCTCTTGCTCCCTTGTCAGCCTCGAATCCTACGCACACCGCTGGACCGGCCAAGGATACTACTCCGCGAGCTCACGACCGCCGCATCACCGCCTGCACTCAGAGAGAGGAAGATGGGTCCAAACAGCAGCACGACGCCTCATCCCCCAGCAGCGCTGCCGCGCGCCCGCCGTGGTCGCCACCAAGACACAACCTGAGTATCGCTGCCATCACGGCACCCACCGGCGCGTCGACCTCTCAGTAGTCCGTTTCCCTCTGCATGTTGTCCGCCCAATCTCTTGGCACTGGGGTAGGTGAGGCTCGCAGACGCACCAGGATAGACTCCATCTACATGGTGGCGAGCTGGCGGCACATCTGCACAAGTATCGAAATGCCGTCCACTGGCAATATCGCCGAAATTACCGTGCCACCACCGCGACATCACCGCGGCCATCACCACCGACACCACCGCTGGCATTACCGCTGCCACCCAACATGAGTGGCGGCGGGTTCCATCTCTCCGGATGGCGGTGGTGGAGGTCATGAGATCTTTGAGGCTCCGCCAGCATACAAGCCAATGGTGGACAGCATCATCATCTCACCAGGTGAGCCTCCGCCAGCAATCAAGCCCACATGGCAGACAGCGTCGATCGCGAGGTTCTCGAACGAACGAGGAGCGTATCGCCGCCTCGCCCGGTGAGCCTCCGCCACCATAAAAGCCAATGGTGGACAGCATCGCATTGGGAGAGCCAAACGAAGGCGCCCGGCAAGCCTCCGCCACCATAAAAGCCAATGGTGGACAGCATCGCATTGGGAGAGCCAAACAAAGGCGCCCGGCAAGCCTCCGCCACCATACAAGCCAATGGTGGACAGCATCGCGACGGCAAGCCTCCGCCAGCATCCAAGCCCATGGTGGACAGCATCGCGACGGCAAGTCTCCGCCGGCATCCAAGCCCATGGTGGACAGCATCGCGACGGCAAGCCTCCGCCGGCATAAAAGCCTACGGTGGGCAGCATTCCCCTTGCCGACCGAYCACATCACCCCAACATGGCTAATGAGACGGTCGTCACTGCCGTCTCGCCAGGTAAGGCTCCGACGGCATACAAGTCCATGGTGGAAAGCAGTCCCTTTCTCTTCAGCAATCCCTCTCTCTTCAACCGTCTCGCCCGGTGAGGCCCCGCCAGCATACAAGGTCGCGTGGCGTCTCGCCAGGTGAGGTTCTGCCGGGATACGAGCCGTGGTGGACAGCATCGCGAGGTCCACGAACGAAGGCGAACTGCATCACTGTCTTGCCCGTAAACGCTTCGCYAGCACAGTCGCGAGGTCAGTGACCGAACGAGGGGCGCACAGTACTCGCGTCGCTCAAGGCCGCGAAGGCCAACGGTCCGCGGATTGCTCAACATCAAAGATCCTGCGACACCACGAAGTGCAGTTCACCAACTTCATTTGAGCCAACGACTTGGAGTCAACGAATTCGAAGGGATCAATGCAGCACGGTCGGTCTGCGGTATTCTGAGGTTCGCCACGGTCAGCTGAAAATGTCACTTTCAGAAGCAGCGAACCAATCGAGAGAAACGTATCGTCTGGCCAAGCCCCCAGCTTGCCTTCAGGTCCCGTGAGACGTAACTCATCTTACCTGTTGCTGGTAGACCTCTCCTCCATTCCTCTCGACCGGAGTGTCTCTAGGAATCGACTTTAACGCCATGTGCTTCAAGCCGTCTTCGTCAAAATCTTTCGGAGACGCAGATATTCGCAAGGCCTTTTGCATACATCATGGCGGCTTTTCCTGTGGCGGCCCTTTCAACGGACCCTTCTTCACGGCCATTTGATTGCTGAGATGATGTCGGGACGCTGGACTGCACCTGTGAAGGAGATCTGCTGCCTTGGCACTCGAAGAAACTTTGACGGGCCAAGAACATCGAACAGACAGCACTTCTGCTCAGTCCTTCTCTGTTTCCTGCAACTGAATCTTTGGAAGTTGGCGTGTGTTGTGCAAAGGGATGGGTCTGTCCACGAAAAGTGATTGCTCTCTTCAGCATCGTTCCGTCCGCACACACGGAGCGGTCCGCCTCCTTCACAACCAGCTGACATCCATTCTCATCGTTGCCAATGTCGTATCTGGATCGCAACACCTGACGGGGCGGAGTTACAATCGAGTACCCAGCTCCATTGGATGTGCTCTTGATCTCTCTCAACTTGCTGCACGGAGCATACCACTGGAGGTTTCAGAATACCGATTCACCCACGGGCTCAGCTTGCCGCCGTTGCTCGCAAACGCGCATCGAAGGACATCGCCACGACGATCGGTCGAGCGTGACGCTCTACCGTTCCGACATGAAGTCGGGACATCATCACTGTCTTTACTCGTACTTTGGCTCGTTTATATGTGCAGCACGACTGTGGATTTGCTCATGAATTCTGCTGCTCTCTTCGACCGGCCAGAGACGCTCCGCACCTGCTTGTGATGCTTCTCGAGCATGGAGACCACATCGCAAAATAACGTATCGCACTCCATCGATAGGCGCAATCAAATTCCAGGGGTCAGTCTTGAAGAGGGCATTGGTACTGCTCTTCGACGACCGACCAGAGAAAGGGCTGAGTGGAATGAGTGCACCATTGAAGAGGCCAGGCCAGAGCGAATTCTCGTCAGTTGGAAATCATATCGGACTTCACATCTGCTGCCATTATCCGAGCAGATCAGTCACGAACGTACTTTCATTAACAAATCGATCATCAGCTCGTCCGCCGCGCCTTGGAGTCCTTCTCCTCCTCCACTCGCTTTTCTACCATCGCAGCCCTGGTGCTTGCTCTACTGATCTTCTTGCCACCGAACGATGCTCGTGAGCCATGGAATGCTCCGCCCTGTACCTGCAACCCCAGATCAACCCGAAAAAAACTTGAAAAGGAACTGTGCCGCGCCGGATACCCAGACTATCCAGACGACGTTATCCCTTTTGTGGCATCGGCCACATCCAAGACTCACACAAACCCCTCCCCGTACTCACTACCAGCCTAGACGTTGGCCAATCCTTCTTCTCCACCTTCAGCCCCGACTCGAACAAATCGCATCCGACAGCTTCTCGGACCAGCAACATACGGCCCAGCCAGTTGCTACCTAGCAACTGCCCAGGTGGCAACGACGAAGGAGACGACGAGGCCGCTCGCGCTGGTGGTGGTGCCGGTGGTGTGATCAAGGCCAAGAGTTCCCGCATTCTGAAGCGCCTACCGAACGTTCACACTAGCACGCATCACGCATCGAGCGCGGATGAGTATGGCCTCATCTTTAACCTGCATGTCGTGATGGGTGAGGATCTCCATAGGCAAGTATTCCAGAACATCCTCATTGCAAGCCATTACTAACGTGATGTTTGCACAGAGACTTCAAGACCAAGATCATGTCGACCAACAAGCAGCATCCAGAGCGTACGTACCGCCCCCATCCCACACCGCACAACTTGCACTACCTGTTCCTTTTATGTCTTTTCCACTTGCTTCACGCGCTCTCTTTACTCTCGTTCTCTCCTTCAACTTTCTTCACGACCTTACAGTGTTTTCCCGCTGTTGCACTGTACTCACACCTCCCTTGATTTTCCGCTACCGACATTATACTGGATCTTCATCAAGCAACGCCTGAGCRCCGAGCCGACATGGGCAATTCCAATGTCAATCGCTTGCTACATCTTCAGCTAGCTGAGCTTGTTTGACGAGGTCTGATCTGGCAAGTTCGATCAGCGATTCATTGGTAGCTCGACCGGAGCATTCCAATCAGCAACAACGTGCGCAGTGGACCATTCAATTTCACGCACGATCACAAATACCAACCATCCCGGCTGGACCTTCATGCTGCTGCTTGTTTCTCGCAAAAATCTAGAAGAAAGACAGCGTTCGATGAACTACGAGTCTGAWACTGCACCCTGATCGTGGAGACCGCCGACAACATCACCATTCACGTCGTGACATGAAGTGCTAATGGATGCATCACGACCCCCAACTTTCATTCGCCACATCCGAGCTGCAATGCCGCTTCGATCATTACAAAGCTTTCCACAGACCCACGTCTAAGACGGGATACCTTCGGAGTAGAGTCAGGCACTTGCAAGCACGCAGCCCGTCCTACTGGAAATTACACACTGCCTGTTTGTTCCATCAAGCACCCACCTGTTGTCAGGCTGCTACCCTTTTCTGGACCAGCCACCAGGTGCCCGAACTATCGAGCTTTACCGCATACGAGTCGCTTTTCTTCTACGCTCATCCATCACATGCATAGTGATGATGGTATTCAGTTGTAGGGTGCGCAGCAAGCGAGCGACGCTCTTCCCGCCCCCCTCGCTGTTCTATTCATCCGTCGTTGCTTGAGCTCAAAATGCGCCGACGGCTAGAATTGGAGACCTGGGGCAAATCAGGGGAGCTAGTATTTTCCCACCATCAGACCAGTGGAATAGCCCCGACACTGCTCGACCCAATGCTTGAAGCTCCCAGCAGAAGGTTTTTTCACGTCACTTCCAGTACGGTGCC